AACTTCTTATGGGCTCAAATTATAGCAAGGCAAATATAGTGAAACTTCTTATGGGCTCAAATTATAGCAAGGCAAATATAGTGACACTTCATAGGGGCTCAGATTATAGCACTGTCAAATATAGCGACACTTTCTTTGGCCTCGAATTATAGCACATGCTAATATAGTGATACTTTATATCAAATTAGAGCACATGCTAATATAGTGACACTTTATGTCAAATTAGAGCACATGCTAAAAAGTGACACTTATTTATATCAAATTAGAGCACAGGCTAATATAGTGACACTTTATATCAAATTAGAGCACAGGCTAATATAGTGACACTTTCTTTTGCCTCAAATTATAGCACATGCTAATATAGTGACCCTTTATATCAAATTATAGCACAGGCTAATATAATGACACTTTATATCAAATTAGAGCACAGGCTAATATAGTGAAACTTTATATCAAATTAGAGCACAGGCTAATATAGTGACACTTTATATCAAATTAGAGCACATGCTAATATGGTGACACTTTATATCAAATTAGAGCACAGGCTAATATAGTGACACTTTATATCAAATTAGAGCACATGCTTATATGGTGACACTTTATATCAAATTAGAGCACAGGCTAATATAGTGACCCTTTATATCAAATTAGAGCACAGGCTAATATAGTGACACTTTATGTCAAATTATAGCACAGGCTAATATAGTGACACTTTATATCAAATTAGAGCACAGGCTAATATAGTGACACTTTATATCAGATTAGAGCACAGGTTAATATAGTGACACTTTCTTTGGCCTCAAATTATAGCACATGCTAATATAGTGACACTTTATATCAGATTAGATAGAGCACAGGTTAATATAGTGACACTTTCTTTGGCCTCAAATTATAGCACATGCTAATATAGTGCCTTGCACCCCATATTATCACCATTTTCTACCATAGATGTTTAGTCCCACTTTTCTTCACCCATCACAACAAACAGCATGGTGCTATTTCAGAGCAGCCTCTTATAAAACCAACAACGGGCCAATAACTTTCAATTTACAAATATCACATACACTTAATTTTCATTTTTAACCTTAAAAAAAATATTTTTTTTTGAAAGTGATGAAGAAAAGATAATAATAAAACATAATTATACTATACCCCAATAATCATTTACAAAATAAAATTACTAATAAGTGTGCTGGACACAAATTTCTGCACCACAACAAATGGCACTAATGTATCCAAATATTCTTTTGGCTAAAAGGGAATTCCGTTTAATCAAAGACATTTTTTAAGGGGTTCCCCCAAAGTTGAAATTTTCAGAAATGACTTGTGAAAGAATTGATTTGATTCATGATACAATCATGATGAGGAAGAAATTTTTTTTTTAAACTTTTCTCATTTTATTTTTAAATTATGAAAACATACAAGAAAATGAGGCATATTTGGAAAATGGACAACACCAATTATATTTGTTAAATAATCATTTAAATGCTTAGTATTAAATATGATATCAATTCAGCTTGATCATCAATAAAATGTACAAATATAACAAGCTATTGATTCATTGTTAAAATATATCCAGATACAGAAATAACAACTGAATGCCCAATTGTGTAGCACCATTGAGTGGCAATAATATCACAGTTTTAATAAATTTACCTTTATAATAAATGTGTTTGCGATTTCTAACTACTATGCTACGCTGCTAAAGATATGATACACACACACAGCGATCTGGTAAGAAAGTTTTCAATAAAGTTGTACTTGTACCCACGGCACTATGAATAAACATAGATTTTGATATGTGCTCTGATGAGATCCAGCTGAAAAGAAATTTTTGGGTGTGGATTTTTCTTTTTTCATTCAAAAAAAAAGTTTTAAATTTTAATTTTTTAAACTATTAGGGGAGGGGGTAGGAGTGCCTTACCCAGCCAACTGCCCTGCACCTCAGAAAATGGTGCCTTAAATTTACACAAATATTAGGTTCAAATATCTACTTATTGTTGTCGTGCTCCCAATGGTTAAGTCATAAATGAATTTCAATTTCCATTGCTTTTTAAAGCATATTAGTTATATTTTAATACGTTGGTACTCAAAAGTTCATTCATATAAATAAATACTTTCTCCTTTGTAACAGCCATTTCATGATGAAAAGAGTACAAAAAAGGGAGAGATTGTTGGGAATCCCCAAAAGGATGACATCGTGACATCACAATAAGACCAAGATGCTTAGACAAAAACCATCAAGTTGCCAGACCTGTCTCAACCACTTTCAGCCTGTGATTTAATATGCAAATTCTGATTGATTGGTTCCCTTCTTACATCAGATTCTTGAAAATGTCATGGTAAAAAAAAAAAGGCATCTCAAAAATATTTTCACTATTTTACAAGAATTTTAAAGAAAACAACTTTCCTTTAGAAAAAAAAACCTTTTAAAAAAAAAAGGGGGGGGGGGGGGGGGGGGCGAGAGGAGTATTAAGGCAGCTACAAATTGCTAGAGATCTACTTGACTTATTTTAATACTGCACCTAAATATGTGTCCAGTTCAAAAGCTCTGTGATTCATATGAAGAAATTTTAATGGGGCAACTTGAAAATGATCAAAATAGAATAAGAAGTAGAAGACTGATCAAGGATTGTGGAGAAAGTAATAGTTAAAAAAACAACAGAAAATTAACCTGAGTGTGACCTGAAAAAATGCCAATGAAAAACAACTTCCTGTCTCGAAATTGTCTCAGAGCTTTAACAAAAATTGTTTTACGCTACAGATGTCACAGATTTCACTAAATAAAATTTGTGATGACTGCACTAAAAAATGTTACACTAAATAAGATTCTTAAAAATAAGGCAAGTACGTAATACTTTCTATTGTTTGAAAGAAATAGTTGGTGTAATTAAATCTGTGGTGTAAAAGAATATGCGGTTGCGGAATCTTATAGTGGGTTATTGTCTCAAAATTGTCTCAGAGCTGTAACAAAAATTGTTGCCACTCTGCACGCAGTTGTTTTTAAAACTCTTTTTTTTTTTCCTTTTTTTTTTTTTTTAAATCTTTTAACGATGAATGTAAAAAAAATTTTTATTTACAAATTTAATAAAATTTGAAAAAAAAAAAACCAAAAAAAAAAAAAAAAAAAAAAAAATAAAAAAAAAAAAAAAAAAAAATAAAAAAAATGTTTAATTACAGATGTAATTACATGTGTGATAAATGATACCAAAAAAAAAAAAAACAACAACAACCTTTCAATATACAAAACATACAATTAAAACAACAAAAAAAACTTTAAATAAAAATGAAATGTACAAATACCCCACAGCTCAAACAAATGGAGAATGCTGAGTAAAAAGTTTCCTTATAAATCTAATCATGAGACAACGTATTCAGTTAATTTTCACTCATTGCACATAGCATACAGAAAAAATCCCAAGCTCTTTTTGAATTTAAAAAAAAAAAATTAATGTGAAAAAACAATAAAATGAAGTATATGCTTGAGTAAAAGTGTAAAGTAATTTTTGATTGTGATGTAGCGCCAAGTACAATTTAGCGTTCAACTTTCAATCACAAAGGTTTCCTATGATGCCCTCATATCTCTAGTAAGTTATTTTATCCATAAAAGAAAGTGCACTAACACTTGAACTTAGCCACACACACAGCCCCTCCCCTCCCCTGTTTTAACACTTACCCAGTGTCTACAGTTTTCATGTTTTCTCATCATTTAAAATAACAAAATAACATAACTATGTGAAATTTTAAAATAGCATAACTATGTGAAATTTTAAAATAACATAACCATGTGAAATTTTAAAAAAATAACATGACTATGTGAACATTTTAAAATAACACGACTTTTGTGGACCTGTGAAACAGTGAACACATATATTTGTCTGCAGTGATTCAGTGTCAGAAGAGAACTTTCTGAGAAATTTCCCCACAAAAAGTTTAAATGGCAAAAAAAAAAAGATTCAAAAAGATTCTTCTCTATAAAAGTACCAGCCAGTAAATTTTTTTTTTACTGTAAAAAGATATGCAATTCAGCTCCCACAAAAAAGACATGGTAGCTTAATTATTTTGCTTTATAAGTTACACTCAATGTCTGTTGAACACAGACTGCGGTAAGTTATTTTATACAAAAATCTGAAAGGCTGCTCTAGTTAATGCTCTAGGTGATGGCCTTGCTCTTTTTGTTCGATTCACATGGGGACATGCAGTTTGGGAGATGAATAGGAACAAACAGAACAATTACAAATAGAAAAGAGTAACAATTGGAAGTTAAATGTGAAATATTTCTTTTTTTCTTTTTCAAAAGAAATACCCACAATAAAAATAATAATGACACATATTTACATACACAGCTAATATTGCACACTGATTAGTCCCCAGAAAAATGTACAAATGTTGAAATCATGTGACACTACTTGACACCTATTGTTAAATAAATATTTTAACACCATTAAAAGAAGAACAGAAAATTCACAACTCATATGCATATTAAAAAAAGGCTTTTGAGTTGGACATTTTTGTGCTTTATTATATGTATTGATTTATAATTTTCTTTTAAATTCAATGGACCAAAAAAAAAAAAAATTTAAAAAAAAAAGGTTCATCTCTATTACATTTCGTTGTAAATGGATTGTTTCATGAAAATAATTCTAGTAATATTTTTAGAATCTTCTTTAATTCAATGGACCAAAAAAAAAAAAAAAATTTAAAAAAAAAAGGTTCATCTCTATTACATTTCGTTGTAAATGGATTGTTTCATGAAAATAATTCTAGTAATATTTTTAGAATCTTCTTTCCAACAAAATAAAAAAATTGTGCACTATAGTGTTACTTGAGGTTGACTTTGCACAAAAAAATGTCCCATTCTTTATCCATTATTGCTGCCCTCCATGTGACTGTAAACAACTGTATCCTAGACACATGCGGACCAAATGTCAGCTGTTGGGTTCCTGGGACTGTTGTGCTGACAGGTTGCCTGTTGGAGGGGGGATCAGCGTCAGCGGCAATGAGATTCTCAGTGTGGACAGTGGGTCTGAGACGTAACCTGGAGGAACACAACAGCCAGTTTGTAAGATCATTAAATCTTTTATGAGCGAAAATGAAAACTAATTCCCAATACCATATAACAGGAACATAAAAGGGACATGCGTATTTTCAAATATTTTACGACATCTGCTATCTCACCATTTTTGTCCAGCTGTGGGTAGGGATATCTGCGCTTCTCATCATTGCCCCCAACTCCACTGAAATAATACACACAGGCTTGAAAGATAGGTCAACTTAAAATGTGGAGCAAAGGAACTCTTAAAATAACTACCCTATATTAAAGCTATAGATAACAGTTTTCAACCGTTCAGTTCATCTGAAAAGTGATGAAATTCAGAAAAGCTTGTATATATGAAGATCACGTCACAAATCTTCACAAGAATACTTAGATGAAAAGGTATAGAGTAAGGTAACATCATCAGTCCTAATTCTTTCATCATGTGCTTCATGGCCTTGCTGTCACAAGGGGAGGTTATTATGAATATTTTGCAGCCCTGGTAATTTTTAAAAAACATTTTGTCAGCAACAATTTTTGTTAACAGTGCAATATTTGTGATTTTGGATTGACCCATTTATTGACATGAGAAAATGTAACTATGAAAGATTGAAAACTTGAAGCCCTCTGTGCCTGAAATTGCTTTTAAAGTTAACAAAAAAATGTTGGAATGACTGAGAGAGATTTTTTTTCTACAAGTTTTTATTGCATAAAACAGTGTGCAGCAGATACGATAACAGGGCCAAGGTAAAGAGTCTCCCTGTGGCTTATCTGAGAATAGATGAAATTTTAGATACCAAATTTGCTATTAATATGATTCTATCTGCCACTCCCCAAATGACCTATTGCATTCTTCCAGTCATCTTACAAATCACTTTGTCTGTATTTTCCAGTCTCGTAAAAAAAAATTTTTTGTGAGGTGTGGTACAAAGATTTAACTGGATAAGGCTGAACCTGTTTTTGTGAGGTGTGGTACAAAGATTTAACTGGATAAGGCTGAACCTGTTTTTGTGAGGTGCGGTACAAAGATTTAACTGGATAAGGCTGAACCTGTTTTTGTGAGGTGTGGTACAAAAATTTAAATGGATAAGGCTGAACCTGTTTTTGTGAGGTGTGGTACAAAGATTTAACTGGATAAGGCTGAACCTGTTTTTGTGAGGTGTGGTACAAAGATTTAACTGGATAAGGCTGAACCTGTTTTTGTGAGGTGTGGTACAAAGATTTAACTGGATAAGGCTGAACCTGTTTTTGTGAGATGTGGTACAAAGATTTAAATGGATAAGGCTGAACCTGTTTCTTGAGGCCTCCATCTCCCAGTGGTTCCTCAGCGCTGAGACGTGGCCGGGCATGGGTGGGGTGTCCCTCCCCTCCCCGTCAGAGTCCTGTGTGGTGACCATGGGCAGTGACGATGGCAAAGAGGCTGTTGGGGTCTCCACGTTGCTCAGCATGGCCACGGCCTGGCTCCTCTTGCACTCTTCCAGGTTTGGAATGATCTCACGGAATTCTGGCCTCTCCTGCAAAGTAAGACAGCATTGTTTGAAGGACCACAACTTAAAAAATATTTTTATAAATACATAAGTGGGCAATTTAATATATTTTTTTTTTTACAAAGTTGTAATGGAAATGAGAAAAATAATACAGTATTTCAAAAAGACATAATTTGGAAATTGGAAAAACAGTGAGTTTATAATGTTATTGATTAGCTAGTATTGAAACATAAAGCTGTACTTCATAGGACAAAAAGTCGAAGGTCAGGGTTGACTGTCTATACAGGTAGCAACAGATGAAGATTTTAAATATCATAACCTTTATGAACCACTTTAAAATATTATATCCCTTTTTGTTAGCAACAAAATTTGAATCTAAAAAATAATATATCATCACACAGTTGGATTCTAACAAAGAGACATGTATAACATCACACAGCTGGCTTCTATCAAAGAGACAAGGTATAACATCACACAGCTGGCTTCTATCAAAGAGACAAGGTCCAGAGAGACAATACTTACATCTGGATTAGAATGCCAGCCTTTCTGTAGCAGTGTAACAATAGGCTTTGGGAAGGTGATGGCTATTGGAGGTCTTGTGTTATGGTAGGCAGTCTCCGCTGCTGCTGCCGCTGTAAGGTGCAAGTTTTTAAAATGTCAGATTTTCAGAGTCTTTGGAGTAATAAATACAAATATTAAACTAAAGCTTCTCCATTGTATTCAGGTGTTAAATAGTAGAGGAAAAAAACAGCAACTTTAACTCAGAGCAAACATTTAGAAAATTAAATCTGTGCAATGTGAATAGGGAAGCAAAGAAAGCTTCACCCTGTTGGGGTTGTCTTTTAATCTACCTCAGCTTTAGAAGTGTCCAGTCTTCATCTAATAACTTAATTAGAAAACTTCAGCAAGCATGCAGGAGTACTTATGTGCATTTAATTCATGGCTGTTTGAAACAGATAATAGTCATTGAAGAAAAAAATCAACATTTTTTTTCCTTTATCTATCTTACTACACACCTGGTTTAAGATGTGCAAAGGGCAGTTCACCAGCAAGCAGTTCCCACAGCACCAGAGAGTAGCTGAACATGTCGGCCTTGACACTGTACTTGGTGCACTGGGTGAAGATTTCTGGGGCCATCCACCTCAAGTTCTGACCAGACAAATGTGAACTATTTTATATGCTACAGTTTAAATATGATAATTAGTTTTAAAAATTCTCTTAAGAATGGTTTGTGTTTTTAAAAAAAAATTAATTTATTATGCATGAATCTGTCACATTTATATATATTTACCCCAGGCTGTTTGGTCATGTTGTCTTCATCAGCGGATCTCAAGAACCTGGACTCTGGATTCCAAAATAAAAGAATGCTAATTAATAGCCTGCACTATCGACTGACAAATAATAACCTAAATAACTATCACATTAAAATGTTCTTATCTTTTCAAATCTCAATTAGCTCATAACAAGTTTTTCTGACAGGAATTCGGTTGTTCGTTCAATTTAAAGCTCATTACAAAAATAATTAGTCTAACCAATTAAATGAATAAAATGATAAGGCATTACATAAAAAAATTGCAATGGAATTTTATGTTTTATTTTATTTCAAAAGAGCTCATGTTGTTATCAAATAATTTACCCCCAAAGTCAGCCACAACTGCATGTCCATTTTCTTCCAGTAGGATGTTGTGACTGTTTAAATCTCTATGTATAATTGGTAGAGGCATGTTGTGCAAATATTCCATTCCTTTAGCCACATCAAGGGCTATGGTTAACTTGGACTGGATGTCAATTAGCCTGGAATAAAAATCATTTCCGATTTGAATTGGGACAGGAGTTGAATAGGAGTTCTAAGAATTGAACAGATACTCTTTCTAAGAAATGTAGAGATACTCTACTAAGAAATGTACAGATACTCTACTAAGAAATGTAAAGATACTCTTCTAAGAAATGTAGAGATACTCTTCTAAGAAATGTAGAGATACTCTACTAAGAAATGTACAGATACTCATCTAAGAAATGTACAGATACTCTTTTAAGAAATGTACAGATTCTCTTTTAATTATGAGAGAGACACATCTAGTTATCATATTTTATGGTCTGAGTGATCTATTATGCATGATGCCTTAAAGTCTCTAAATAAAACTTGAAATGTATCTTTATATATTTAAATGATAGATATTAACTATATAAACTATTCTGTATTTTTAGTTAGTGTCAAAGGATTTAAAGATGTTATTGTTTTTTTTATTCAGTTCTAATCTTATTTCATTTACAGACACAGTTACCATGAATTCATTAAAAAAAATTATCCATTTCATTGTACCTCTTCCCCTGTATGAAAATCTTCATTTTATTTGTAGATCCAATTTGACCCTAGCCAAAAGCTTCTCACACTTACCTCTTCTGCTCATGTAACAAACTAAACAAGGACCCTCCAGACACATAGTGGGTAACTATGGCAAATTGCTGGAAGAAGAACACAAAATAATAGCTCTGAGGCACAAGGATTGTTCATTCTATTTGTGGTTAAATACTTGTGCTGCAACACCTGAATATTTTCACGTAACTATTATATGATATACCAATAGAAAAAAAAAAGATATTCCAAAAAAATTGAATGATATAAAAGGAAAGAATTTGCTTACAGCACCAGATTAAAAAACCATTTACCGCATGTCATACAATTTCTGAATAAATGTACTTCTTAACTAGGTCAAGTAAATCTTACACTAGGATCATCCAGACAGGCACCAATAAAATTGATGACGTAAGGACTGTTGAGCTTTGCTAAAATAGCCACTTCTCTACAGAACATGTCCACATCTGACTTTGCCCCAAAAGAGCTGGCTCTGTACCTAAATTTTTTTTTAAAAAAAGAGGATTTTTAAAAAAAACGATAACTGATGAAACAATGTATTATATCATATAAGAAATCCTTTAACTTTATTCAGTAACTTATTTCAACTCTGCTTTCAATGAAAAGTAAGAAATTTGATAATTTAAACAATGTCTGCCGTTATGAAAACTTCCATATTGACAACTTCCATATAATAAAATATAAGTGTGAAAAAAGCTATGTATATAAAACTATAATAAAATTAATTACTAAATATATGAATTAAGTTAATCATGTCTATTAATAATACTTTTACAAGGTAAAATAGATGTTAGAATTTCCACACACTTGCTTGTTTTAAACAAATAAATACTTCAACCCACTACCCTAATCCAGGATACGAGTCAACCAGTTGATTTATCACCCTTGAATAAACCATTCAAGTCGATGCAAGCTCTTGCCCACCTTTTAATGGCCACCGTCCTGCCTTTACACTTCCCTTTATAGACTTTCCCAAATGAACCAGAACCTATTGTTTCCTGGAACTCTAGATCCGTGATCTGCAGGTGGAACTGGTGGGATAATGTGGCCCTCAACTGGAGCACATCAATCTTCTCCTTCGTCATGCTGCGCAGCTTGCCCAGCGGTGACGGCACGGCAACGTAAGACCCGTCCAAGCTGCCAGGCTGGGAGTAGTCACCACAAGCTGATTCATCGCTGGGCCTCTTGTAGTGTTTTAGCAGAGTAACAATGGAGTCAAATCCTGAAATAATGAAGTACGTCTATAGTTAGCCCTTACAATTCAAGCAATATGTAACCTGGTCATTGAGGGGAAAGAAATTAAGTTCCAGTTAAACTGAAAATAAAGAGTTGTTACTGTTCAAAATATAAATATGTTAACCAAATATGCATTCTAAAAAAATAATTTTCTTACAATTCAGTGGATTCATTAAAAACGATATTTGGACACAACATGTGAAACAAATAGTCATTCTTCTAATTATTAACATTTCCTTAAATGATAGGGAAACCCACTGTGTCCTCAAAATCACAACTTCAATCACAGCACGCTGGCATGCAATAAACAACCCATCTCTCTCATAAGGCCACACAGCCCACCTCTCTCATAAGCCCACACAACCCACCTCTCTCATAAGCCCACCACAACCCACCTCCCTCATAAGCCCACACAACCCACCTCTCTCATAAGCCCACACAACCCACATCTCTCATAAGCCAACACAACCCACCTCTCTCATAAGCCCACATCAGAGCAGTCTGCTCCTCTCTCTTCTCGCTGTCTCCACTCTGGTCACTGCTGGCCGCCACCAGGTTCATGTCAGCCCTATTCTCCAGCAGGAACTGCACACACCGTATGTGGCCATGGTAGCAGGCACTGTGCAGGGCCGTGTGACCATCCTTGCCCTGGTAGTTGATATCTATGGACGGCTGCTCAAGGAGAAACTTCACCAGCTCCAGGTTCTTGCCATATGTGCAGGCGCTGAGTGAAGGGGGAGAGGAAGAGATTGAAGGCATTGGGTAAATTCCCCTGTGTACACAACCTGTGTGTACATGGGGAATAAGATAAACAAATATTTATCACTCTAAAATAGTGACACAAATTATTTTTTTCGGTTGCGGAGCCCTACTTTAAAAAAAAACAAAAAACTAGCACACAGCACAAAAAAGAAGTAAAATTAAATCCTAGATTTCATGACACACATTGGACCAGGTTGTGCACATCTGAAAATGACGCCGTTATAAGTTTGAATCTAGAGATCTGTTCTTCTTAGAGATATTCATCACTGAAAAATTAATTACCTTGAAAAAAAGATTTTTTGTTAAAAGCCATTTTAATGATAAAGCCTTTGTAATAAAACTTCCAGCAAACTTTTTAAAATTTTTTTTCAATTTTTTCAAAATACATTTGGGCTGTCCAAGATTTACTCACCTGTGGAAAGGTGTTTCACTGAATATATTCTCCATGGTCAGGCTCTCTTGCCCAGTTTGAGACATCAGTTGTTTGGCAATTTCTAGTTTCCCATTGTAACATGCTCTGCAGGAAATAAATTCAACCAAATAAATTTTACAAATCCTGCCAGGGACCGCTATGCTTCAGTGATATCCCCTTTGTGAGAAGCAGTTGAGTTTTCACAACACTGAACCCAAAACAGAAAAACGTAGGGCTTTTTTCTTCCGCAAAATACTAATTACAGGCCACAAACTTAGTGTAAAGGCTTACTGTGGCACAATGACATTTAGTGACTGTTGATCACAAGAGTAAAACTTAACTCTTAATACCAGTAATAAATTATTAAGTGGGGGACTATTTTGTCAGCCATACAGGCGACCGTGTAGAATTAGAGAGTGATCTTAGAATTTTCAAAGATGGAGAATGCATGAATTTAATGTCTGCAGACACTATAGTACATGAGCACATAATCATATCCCTTATTCAGTGGATAACGAGTGCTTATCTCATATTTATTGTGGATTGGAGCTGCATCATATGGTTGTTCAAATGTTACGGGTGGTTTCAAGTTATGTTCAATGAAATATAACCAGTGAGAGGAAGAAAAGTATCAGAAGCTTCATTGGTTTCACTTACAAATGGAGGAAAAAAGTTTGGTCTACACTCAGAACAATGCAATATGGTGCTTGGCAACGACGAGCAGGTGACGATTAGAGTTTTCAATGATAATTAGTACAAAAAAATATATTATACTGGGAAAGGGGGGGGGGGGGGCTTAAAAATGCAGGGGTGTGTCTCCATAGATGTTAGCTTCGGGTGGTAAAGCCTGGTGATCTAGTAGGTAGTGAAGTGTGACCAGATGACCTGACTTACAGCAGAAATGGAGGGGTGTGTGCCCTTCATCATCCTTCACATTAACTGAAAGCACAAATTATTGTCTGTTTATGCAATCTTAAAGGTTAGAATACAAAAAAATTAAGACAATACAAGTTCATTTTGATTAATCTTGATGTTTTAAGATAAAATAATCTCTCTCTTATGTAATGGCATTCAATAATTTGTCTCTCTTTCTTTTGTAAAACCATTCAATATTTTGTACAAGATTATAAAATAATCATCTATATTACAATAAATTCACACATTTCTTCCTTTTTAAAAAAAAAAAAAAAAAAAAAAAAAACATCTAAAATACAAAAAATTAACACATTTCTTCCTTTTTAAAAAAAAAAAAAAAAAAAAAAGCAATACTTTTAATTAAATTTACTTTCAAACTTTCAGAAAGCTTTGGAAATGTACAATTTCTCTAAGTTCAAGAAAAGTTAAAAATTTCTCAGCTTTGACAATAACAAATGCTTTTGGAATCCACACATAACACAACAGGAAATTACCATCAGCTTTTTGCTGTGAGGTCCCTTCCACCAAGAGCTGCATGATTTTGAGATTAGCCTTGGAGCTGGCCAGGTGTATGGGTCTATCTCCAACACTGCCACTGATGTTGATGTCAGAACCATTGGTCAGCAGGAGCTCAACAACCTAGAAGAGATAAATGGAGCCCATTGATGTTTAATTAAACTAAAAAATGTGTAAATTAGTTATATTGCCATATTTTATTATTATAATTTTTTTTTTTAAGTCAATCCATGTTTGCTTATCATATCATCACAGTGTGTGAACAAACATTCAATAAAAACATATTTAACATTTTATTTTGTTTCGTAAATAAATTAAGAATTTCAATTATTTGTCCTCATTTACTTACAATTGAAAGTAAATTAGTTGGTGTAACACATAAACTTTTTACAAAATGTTACATTAAGACTCAACAATTTCTTTTTAAAATTTACCATAATGTCTTTTATGCATAAAGATCTAAAGTGAATAAAATGGTGAAAAATCTGATGAATGTTTGCATATAATTTTTAGCATTGTCTTATTCAGAACAAAAAATCTGTTGGTGAAACTTTTTTTTTTTACCGGGTATACTACATTTCCATCTAAAGATCATGCACAGATTAATTCAAATCTTTATATCACTGACGTCTTTTTTTTTTTTTAAATAATATCTTTCCATCAACAGACATGCAAAGTTTTATCTTTACATCACTCATGTCTTTTTTTTTTTTTTTTTTTTTTTTTTTTTTTTAAATAATATCTTTCCATTAATATTTATTTAAAGTTTTATCTTTACATCACTCATGTCTTTTTTTTTTTTCTTTAATTACTTTTTCATGTCCAAAGTGGCAGGCTATATGAAGGGGAGAAAACTTAACAAGATCTCCCATGTCAATCTTGGCTCCACTCTCAAGTAGGATTTTAGCAATCTGAAGATTCAAAGGAAAAAAAAGCAAAAAATTTTCTTTACATCTTGTTATTTAATTGCTAAAAAAAATATGTAGCACATAACTGTTTTAAAAAAACAGTCTCCAAGTTGACTACGGTGCAATGCATCAAATAGAACATCTTGAATGGAGAAAGAGGGCAAGACAGAAGACAAAGTGAGTGTATAACATGGTTAGACAAAGCGACTGATTTCAGTGTGTTTGTGAAGTAATGGCATCATTAAGGGTTTATTATTTAAATTTCACAAGACACAAAAGTCCTGTCGAGAGCATTTATTGAACTTTTAAAAGGGCCATCATTGTTAGCATGGGAAAGTTATAATTAATTTCATTCTGATAAAGCCAGGCATGGCAACCTACTTCATGATGTCCACACATTGCAGCTATGTGTAAAGCTGTAACCCCACTGTGACCCGTTTGGTTGACATCAGCTCCGTGTGTGGCCAACAACTCCACTTGCTCAGAGTCTCCCTGGTGAAGCATATGATTTTGTCATTCTCCGATATGTACACAAACATATGGCTGATTTAAATGAGAGAGGTTTTTCTTTCTCCATAAATTACAAACATATGACTGATGTAAATGAGATCATTGTTACCTGGTGTAAATAAGTGAGTTTTTCCATTACGTACACAAACATATGGCTGGTGTAAGTGTAAATGAGAGTTTTCTCTAACATATTCTGTTTTTTTTTTCCTTTTTTTTTCTTGAGTTAAGTAATGGACTCTGAGATTAGTGTGGCTATCGTCAATAATGGAATTTACTCTTATTTTTAAGGGGAGGGGGGAGGAAGAGGGAGGGGGGAAGAGGGGGGAAGAGGGGAGAGGAAGAGGGGGGAGGAAGAGGGGGAAGAAGAGGGGGGAGGAAGAGGGGTAGTAGAAGAGGGGGTAGGAAGAGGGGTAGGAAGAGGGGTAGAAAGAGGGGGTAGGAAGAGGGGTAGGAAGAGGGGGGAGGAAGAGGGGTAGGAAGAGGAGGGAGGAAGAGGGGTAGGAAGAGGGGTAGGAAGAGGGGTAGGAAGAGGGGTGGATATAAGATAGTAAAATCTACAGTGAACCTTATTTCTCTAGGAAAAAAATATCAGTGTAATGAGAAATAAAATGTGTAAAACACAGGCAAAAACAATAATTCTTACTTTGTAAGTGGCTAAATGCAGGGGGGAGAACTGGTTTTTACTCAGCACATTCACATTGATTCCCTTTTTTAAGAGCCTCTCAAGCTGACTGCATGGAGCTGAGAAATTACACACAAAAATATGAGTCAAATGATCAGACTAGAAAAGCTATCATCAAGATAATATCAAACTTTTTGAAACTATAAACTTAGTGTTCCCAACTTTTCTTTGAGAAAGAGACAACTTCACATTTAGGAGTGTCAAACTATTTCCTTATAGCAGGCAGAAGACATTGTCCTCCATCTTGTAGACACTATTTAAAAAATTTAAATGATGATGAGCCGTCCTCTCATGGGGTTCTGTCCTGTGCAAGCTACCTATATTAATTGGTAACTTTGGTTGGGGGCCATGTACAACATGTATATATCTTGATGTTTTACACTCCATCCATTATTATCCTGCACAAGCCTGTATAATTTTCTGAGGATTTCTATCTCCCATTTATTGCGCTGGTTTTTTAATTTCTTATTCACTAATAATTTTTCACTTGTGTCTCATATCAAGCTTTTTTTACTACCTTTTTTATAACATTGGCAACAGGGAAAGTAATAAAAATAAAATGCTCTGGTTGAAAATGTAAAGTGTTTACCTGACCATTTAAATTCTCAAAACATGACTTAAAAATGGCTATAAATTACAATTTCATGTATGTTTACAGCTATGTTTTTATAATACACTGATATATACTTTTTTTAAAATAAAACAAACCTCCAGCAATACATGCAATGTGCAACAACGTCAGACATGTATCCGTCTTCTCGTGGCAATTGTTCTCATCCACCAAGTTGCTCAAGAGAGCCAAGTCTGAGGTGCTATGAATTTTTTTGTTTTTGAAAAAAAATTCATCTGATAACAATCATAAAATCTTTTATGGATCCACAAATTTCCTTAGATAATGCTGTTTGTGAAACCAGTTGTAAATAGACAACAAGCATATGAACATTTTCATCCAATTGTAGCTGACCATAAAATTTCAATATGGTTGAGATATAGAACTTAAAGATACATTTTTTTTTAATGACTTAAAGATTAATTTGTCCCAAAACCTATCTCACGACAGTTCATAACAATTCCCCTTTTTCAAAACTTTTTTGAGAGTCTGAAAATTACCAACTGTAAATCTGACTACATAATAAAAAAATTTTAAAGGTAGATAATAGAAATTTAGCATTTAAATTGTTAAACGATGATGTCATCAATATGTTTTTAAAATGTATTTGCAATCACACTTATTGGCATGCTCACTTATTGTGAGCTAAAATTATAGATACTTCAAATACGAGCTTGAAATATCTCAACCTAGAAAATGACTACTAGTATACAAGCATCCTTTAACATATAATGAAACGTACATTAAGTCAAAAAAGCATGCTTAGCTTGTCCCAGATATAAAAGTAAATAAACAATAAAACTTCTAAATGTGTCAACATTATGTTAGTTGTAAACAAGCTTGATCTTACTTTGCTGCAGCTAGCTGAACTTCTGTCCAATCTGTATCCTTAGGACGCAATTCTTCAATTACCTTTGATCGGAATAAGGCATAACTTTCGCTTATTTTCTTTTTCAGTTCATCTGAAAACAAAAATTATTAGGCTGCAGTTTTTTTACAACATTATTTTAAGAAATCAGTAATCAGCAGCCATTAAATTTCACAACTACTAAATCCCAAATACCCCATAATTAATACATTTAATATGTATGCATTGCTAAATAAATAGAAAGATCTTTTTATTTAACAATACACAAATAATTAATACATTGATCTTTTTATTTAACAATACACAAATATTAAATAGAGCGATCTATTTATTTAACAATACACAAACATTAGAGTGGTCTATTTACTTAACATTACACAAATATTAAATAGAGTGATTTATTAACAAATTGGTACTTCAGTTTTTATTCACAGCAAAAAGAACAAAATATAATTTTTTTAAATTATGTTCATTTACTGGTGGTCCAGAGAGTTCTACATTTCTTAACATGCAGTTATTGAGCTGAAAAACTACTTAAGATGAATTCCATGTAAATGTGATGCAACATCCAAAAATTAAATTCCTAAATAAATTTATTTCATGCATCTTGATACTGAGTCATTTTTAATATCTTTATTTTGTGTGAAACATACTTTGGTTGCCATCTTGAATTAAGAACATGTTGTCTGCACATTTTAAAAGAAATTTTGTTGAATTTTATTGTGTTGAAATATAACAAATATAGACAGAATTATCATTGTCATTGTCAACGTCACAAGATGGGCAGCCATTAAAACAATGTTATTTATGTTAATTTAACTGCCACATTGAAGTAATGGTAATTCTGAAAAAGAATTGACATTGTTGTTCTATTTTTGATTGCTTGCATTCAGGCAGGTCACGTCAGTTACATTAGTTTTTTACGTTTTTAGTTAGAAAAGTAAACATTTTAGATAATTAGTTTGAAAATATATATTTCAAATGAAATCTGCTTTAATTTGAAATTGTAACTGATGTAACATGTAAAAGACATAAAACATTTGAGTTAGCATCCTTTTATCGATTTCTCTGAAATCTGCTTAGCATACTTTTTATTGATTTCCTCTAAACTCAAATTTTATGTCATTTTCATGATATTTCACATCTCATAAATTTATTTTGCTTACTATCATGCTTATTATAATTTTTATAAATGCTATTGTTTCACAGTTTAGCAGTTTAAGACCCAAAACCATGTTTAGCACTCGAAATGGAATTTTACCTTTGTACTGGATGCAAATTGAAATTGTGTTTCTAAAATTTACCTCAGTTTCCATGGAAACCACTAACTTTACAACACACTTTTAAACAAGCCTGTGATAATTGTAGGACCAAACTTTGATAGATTACAGTGAATAATTTGAACTTCATCAATTCCATTATCAAAAGGACTGTTGTGCATTTCTGGTCACCTGTGACTAAGTTCCTTGAATTTACATACTAAAAAGTTATTTCATTTTTTTAAATTTTAAACAAATTTTTTGCGTTGAGTTAAAATTAACACAATAATGTAATTACCTGTACAAGAAATAGTTGGCCGAGACTTATAGTTACCCATTCTATTTTTTACCTTGGCATTGTCATGCAGCTGAGAAAGATCAAATATACATAAGATAAATAAAACAACCATTGACATCTTTTAAATACTTCCTACTGGTAAAATTGGATTGACTGGGTCAGAAATTTCCTGCAATAAGCATTAGCTCAGTGCCTTGCCATTTATCATATTTAGAGAGAGACCGCTTCCCATTCTGTTTAAGTAATGGCGTTTTTTTCCATGATGAAGAATTCTCTGACCAGGTAAATTCAATTCTTCAATACACTTTTTACAAAAAATAAAAATGAGTAAACTTTTTCTGAAAATCTTATTATTAATCCCCTTTTGACAGTAATGTTAATATTAATAGTATAAATAATCATTTAAATGTATTTAAACATTTTCTGCAGACCATCATCATCTAGTTGAGGCCTAACTTATGCTTTACTAAACTTTAGTAAATCATAGGCATAGGTAAACTTTACTTTTACCAACCCAAATAAATAAAGTATAGTTAGAACATTTTTTTAGCCAACTGGTGGCCTAGGCGTACAAACTATCTAGTTACGAAAAAAGGAGGTGTCCAAACAGAAGATGCAAATAGGCATAATTACTTACTAATTATAGTCTTCCTACTTGCTCATACTCAATACTGTATTGGTCCACTACCATCAACTTGTATTTATAGTTTATAGTATTAGTATGACTTAGGTCTTGGGAGTAAATCATTTTCTTTTTGACTTTGTGAGATTGATAATACTAACAGTTACTATTCTGTTTATTAATTCTGTATATAAATGAAAATGATTGAATCACAGTCGACTAGGTGTCTAAGACCAAGACAGTGAGAAGACTAATTACTAAGTAAAAGTTTTAAACAAGTAAGTAAGTAAGTCGATTACTACCGACGACCGACTACTTCTTGTCTTGTAGAAATAAGTCGTTTACAAGAACAAAGTCAAAGAAATGAATATCTAGCATATTTAAATGAAAATGAATTGCTAAAAGTTATTTAAAAAGGTAATAACCTTTAATCCCTTTTGGTGTGAAAGAAGTAGCAATATTTATAGCGAAAACACTCCATAAAGTTAAGTGACGCAGAGTTTATATTCAAAAAAGGGAACATGAACATGTAGTCTAATGCATTTAATTTGTTGCTAGTAGAAGATTTGACCGGAAGAGAGAAAACGAAAGAACCTTCAACTTTATACCGGAAATAATTCTGTTTAGACAATTTGCATATCATTAAAAGAACTCGGTATCTCATCGTAGACCTACTTAATTTTGATAAAATACTACCGCGCTTACGACCATACACTAGAGCAGGAAGGGGTGGATGGGAAGGGTGGTCCACCCCGTGTGGCACTATTAAATCCTAGATACGTCCTGAGGTTATACCATAAATTTATTTCAATTTTGAAACATGATGCTATTTTTAAGATAGAGAGTTCTGAAAATGTAATATTTTCTATGTACAATTAATCATTTATTGGGGGGGGCCATATTATGATTCTTTTTTTTTTTTTTAACCTAATAGATTTGATTAAAAAGAAGCCATCAATAAATACGCTTTTTTTTGGGGGGGGGGGCGCTTTACCAACCCCTCACCCCAAAGTCACATGTATTTCTTACAAAATAATGTAGACACCCTAATAACACACCGTTGTCGCAAATTCGAGGACCCGACCCCACTCCGCCTGCGCATTTATAAATGACTCCCAAAGAGATTTGGTATACAGTTAGTAAAGAATAGATCATTCATACATAAAAAGTACTACATTTTATTAGAGAATATAAATTCGTTTGGGGGGGGGGGGTAAGGGAGGCTTTGACAGTGTTAGCAGATAAATTTTAATAGTTTGGGAAATCCAGTATTACGTATGTTAGTTTTGGGGGAGGGAGTGGCAGAAGACAGAGTTTTGGAAGTGGATTATGCCATGGGGTTACTTTAATGACATGCAGAGCCAACCCCATGGGCTGCAGGTGGCCTCGGATATATAATGAGTCTAATCTTGTGATGTGGGCAAAACTAGACTATATGCTTGAAACAGGGTTTCTTTCAGCTATATCTCCAGGGGCACTGCCCCTGGGGAAAGCCAAGTGCCCCCCGGAGCAAAAATATGTCCAACAATAAATCAACTGGCACTGCCCCCCCCCCCGAAAAATCTGAAGTGCCCCCACCCAGGGGAAAATTTCTGAAATAATCACAGGCTTGAAAACATAAAAATAGCAGGGGGCCTTCAAAAGTCACGCGACGGCTTTGGTAGAGGGATATACAATTTTTAAATGAAGAGCAGGGGAGGATGAGTTGGCTAAACCAGTTATAGTTAATTGTGATTGGTAATCTAAACCAAAATTCCAGAGACAATTTTGCACCACCTCAGCTAGAGCTGAGATAGGCTAAAAAAATAAACGTTTAGATTGTTTTTCATGTTGTTCAAAACTTTTTTAACAATGATATGGGCTAAGTTAAGAGCTAAATTTTAAAGATATGTGCCGACACTTTTCCCAGCTGATTCCATATCGTCCATTTCTGCATAGGCCTACTTTAAAAAAAAAAATTAAAATGCCATAGGTCTTTTTTCCCCCTGTGTTTCATTGGAGAGACTCCTCGGATTCCTGTATTTATAATTCACCGCTTCATTTCATCTTTATCTGGTCCTTGTTTGTCTCTTCATCGCCATTTTCTTCTTTAAAATATAAACAGGTTCGTTTTTACACCAGTTTATTTACCAGAAGTAAAGTTATTGTATTATTTTAATATGAAGGTTCGAGGTGGGCGTGGTGGTGCCGTGGAGGGGGGCAGTGGCGTAGCGAGGCAGGTGTGGGGGGTGTGGACCGCACCATGTGACACCATTTTATGGGTGACACCCGATTGAAAAATTGCATATTTACAGGGCACACATTGCTCGCAAAAATCGAGATTCATAAAAGAATAACCGAACACACATATATTTTTCACAAATGTAACCAATCCAAATGCGTGCTTTATTAAAATTTCAAGGTTGATGCTATACTGTGGACTTATTTTAACAAGAAAAAATCGATCATAGAAGTTTGGGTGGGGGGGGGGGGATGACACCATGAGTTTACCGCACCGGGTGACACCAACCCTAGCTACGCCACGGGAGGGGGATACTATAATATGAAAAGTCAATCAAGAGGTTCGGGAGGAGGAAAAAGATTGGGAACCGCTGATAATTAGTTTTTTTTCACAAATGTAACCAATCCAAATGCGTGCTTTATTAAAATTTCAAGGTTGATGCTATACTGTGGACTTATTTTAACAAGAAAAAATCGATCATAGAAGTTTGGGTGGGGGGGGGGGATGACACCATGAGTTTACCGCACCGGGTGACACCAACCCTAGCTACGCCACTGGAGGGGGATACTTATATATGAAAAGTCAATCAAGAGGTTCAGGAGAAGGAAAAAGATTGGGAACCGCTGTTAATTAGTTGCTGCACGGATTTGGGTATATTTTCGAGACAATTTGTATTTCTAGGGGACCTTCGAAGGCATTTTTAAAACGGACCCTCCTAAAGATTCTGTGTTTTGTTCATTCATTTCGTATTAATTTCCTTCTGATTTTTTAAATTGCCAAAAAAGAAGGTGGTTATGATAAACGTAAATAAAATTCTCGATAATTTTAAGATACATGAAGTAACGATTCCCAACACTTCGTTTTATTTATTCAAGAACTTACATGTAACATCTTTTTCTAAAAATAAATATGACCATTAACGTCTTGAATTTCAATGTTGGTGTTTTGGGTCATGTTGACAGTGGCAAAACCAGCTTGTCAAAAGCGCTAAGTACAATTGCAAGCACTGCCTGTTTTGATAAAAATCCTCAGAGCAAGGAACGGGGAATAACGCTAGATCTTGGATTTTCTTCTTTCACTGTTGATATCCCGGCTTCAAAAATGGATGACCTTAAAGGGTACAGCAATATTCAATATACTCTAGTAGACTGTCCTGGGCATGCTAGTCTTATTCGCACAATTATTGGGGGTAAGTAAGTTAAATGGATAATAATAATAATAAATAAAATAAATAATATGGTCGGTGTTTTGGCTTTAAAAAAAAAGAACAGGACAATTTAAAGGAGGCTTTTGCTAAAGGCAGTGTCTACACATCCAGCGCGCCTGACGCATATCTCCCCCACTATTTGTCCGTCAGCCTTCTCACGTGACCACGAATTATTAAAAATTGTTAGATTTAAAATCTATTTCTCTACCAAGTAATTTACTGAGTGACTTGAAAACAAATAATAGAAAAAATACTTGGGAATATTACCAAAACAAAGTGGGGGTTAAGCAATGAAGCACTCTAGAAGGAAGCAATGCTGAGAGGGAGAGAGAATTACTGTAATAAAAAATATGAATGCTGAAAAAAATAATAGTGAGGGTGAAAAATAAATTTAAGGTGGGGAGGCCGATAGTTTACAACGAAATAGACCCTACATCTTAATACAGGGCCGATATAGTGGTAGCCTAGCCTACTTCTCATGCAATACTAAATGCTTATCCTGAAATACAACTTTATTTACATAGGTCTATTGAAGTCTACTGGTATTATTTTATTTGGTTCATATTTTAAATTCAGGTTTCAAGGTAGAGCTTTACAAGATGTAATTTATTAACCAAGATAAGGGACTTTTTTTTTTGAAGAGTCGGAATCAAATAGACTAGAGATAGTAGTATTAATAGAACTACTAGTTAGTATATAAGCCGACTAGTTTATTATTCAAAGTCAAACACTTTATGTATCTCATAGCATTTGAATATATTAATATGTTCAGCATTTATTAATTATCTAGGGATCGGAATATCAAATGCAATGCAACTATTTTGCCAGCCACCACTTGTCACATGACCTGCCGGAATAATAACCCCTACTAGTCGTCCAGTGGTCACGTGACATGCCCGCCGGATGTATATCTCTCGCACTATTTGTCCGGCATGCCGGACGTATAGACACTTAGTTTGCTAAATACCTTCTTCAGCAGACAAGACAAAACATTAACAAGAAATAACAAATATAGGCTAATTGAATATAAATTAAAAATTGTGTTTTCAAAGGCTCTGATCAAAGACAAAATGAAGTTCTTTAAGTCTCTGGCAGTAGTGGTATCTTTGGCAAACAAGATGGCGGTATAGGTGAAATGAGAAGACTATCTGATAGTTTCTGTGAATGTTTTTGTGATTTTGAACAAAAAAAGCCATCCCCAGTCTCATCTCATTTTCTAGGGAGGTGAACACAAGGGAACATCACATGTATTCATCACTGCCCTAATTTCTTGCACTAATACACTAGTGTGAACAAAGAATGAAAACAAATTAATTCAGATTTTCGGCTTATGGAATTGATCAAACGCTCTCATAATAGTTGTCTTCAATTTCCCTCCATTTCTATTCTTAATTTATGTTGTTTAAAATATTAAACTTACATTAGTAATACTTAAATTCTTTTACCTTAATTTCTATGCACCAGAATTATGTGGGATGCACATTTTGATCTTGAGAACTTTACTTCCATTTATATCAGAGCATTTCCATTTCAAAACAGAGACTTTGAGAACTACATTTTGATCAGAATCTTGGAACACATATGTTAAATTTCTACTTAAACAAACAAATGGTTTTGTCTTGGCTCCTAAAGGAGGCCAATGGCCAAAAAAATCATCCTTCTAATTGTCCTTTCTTTTTTTTTTTGAAGCCTAAACATATCTTATTCCACTAGTTATGTAAGTTAGTATAGTATAAAGTATGAGTAAACAAACTCATTTTCAGAAATAATACCCAAAAACTTATGCATTATCAACTAATAAGTTAATTGATGAATGTTGAACATGGCATGAGAAGTCTTTTTTTTTTCTTTGTAGAGTTACACTTAGTAGATTGCTTTTCTCTGAAGAATGAGTCTGAGACTTACTGATTCTGAAAGCACTTAAGCCAAAGTCTACTTTAAGTAAATTTCAAGAATGTTATAACTTTTGCTGATATGGATGTATAACTTTTAAATTTGTATAAATTTTATATGCTCACTTTACAGATTTGAAATGTTTGGTATTGGTACCTTGTGATGAATATTCTTTTTATTGTTATAAAAGGAGCTCAAATCATAGACTTGATGATGTTGGTTGTGGATATAACCAAGGGAATGCAAACACAGACTGCTGAATGTCTTGTCATTGGGGAGATCACCTGCAGCAAAATGATAGTGGTTCTCAATAAACTTGATATGATCCATGCAGACAAACAAGCTTCAACAGTTGACAGGGTTTGAAATTATTACTATGTCTCAATGTATAACTCACATGCAAATTCTAGTAATAGATTTCCTATTTTAGTTCCCTTGCATCTTGAATTATATAACAATAAATTATTCAAGTCTTCTAATAATGTATACATAAAAGGAGGTAGAGCTGAAAAAAGTATTGTGGGAAATTTTGAAAGTAATTTTTTATTATTTGTAAATGATGTATGTTTCCTCTTTCACTTTCAGATGAAAAAACGCATGTGGAAAACACTGGAAGGAACTAAATTTGCAGGATGTCCAATTGTAGCTGTAGCAGCTAAACCAGGAGGACCAGAGGTAAATTAATTTTAGAATTGCTTATTTCATTTAAAGAAATGTTCATACTGTTAGACATAGCCCATTTAAAAAAAAATATTTTAACTTCCGTTTCTAAAAAAATGTTGACACTCTAATTTGAGGTTAAGAAATAATAAGCGTTTAACAGCCAAATCAAAACTTTTAAGAAGACAGTTTTTGTAAAATTAATAGATTCTCAATCAATTACAGGCACCAGAAACTGAGGCCATTTCTGTTATTGATCTTATTTCAACATTGGTTAATAGCACCTATATGCCTTCACGATCAGAAGAAGGTCCTTTTGTTTTTTCTGCTGATCATTGCTTTTCTATACGTGGCCAAGGAACTGTAATGACTGGCACTGTACTGAGTGGTAATATCAGCATAAATGATGTAAGTTGATGGTATGACATATTTATAAGGCTACTCAGATAAAGCAATTGAAGCCAATTAAGGTTGCCTTTATTTATTAGAAAAAAAATTAATCTCTAATTTATAATTTATTTTGCAATTTGTATGCCCCGGAGGTGAGATAGTTCAAGCTAATTACCGCTGTGAATGTATGTGTGTTAGATACATGTGTTGGAGGGAATTTTTAAACATTAGCTAATATTAGGTATAGCTTTAATATATGTCTCATATGACAACATATAAGTTAGTATGGGGTATCTCATTATTATCAATAAAAGTGTTTTCTCTCCAGACTGTGGAGATTCCATCTTTAGGTATGACAAAAAAAGTTAAATCTATGCAGATGTTCCGAAGTCCAGTTGAAAAGATTAAACAGGTTTGTTCAATTCTGTTACAGTGGCAGTGATTTAATGGCAATTAGATACCACTCATTATAATTAGATGCTCTGGCCATGTCATGTCTTTAGAAAAAATGAAAACAAACTTTTAGACAATTACATGTGACAACTTTTTTTCATCATACTAATCAATTTACGCCACTCAGTGAAACTGTGGTGAATTTTAACCATCATAGGAAATTTATTAATTGTAATATCCATTATATTTATAGTTTATAGCTCATCTGTCAAAATTTAATATGACCACCTTAATCATGATATAATTGTGAACTTGGCTGTTGATGTGCAGATTACATTTGATACAGGATGTGCAGTAATGTATTGCAACTCGCTAGTTAGAAAACACTTCTTTAGGGTTTAAAAAATTGTGAGTATTTTTTATCTTATTTCAGGGCGATAGGGCTGGAATCTGTGTCACACAGTTTGATCCAACCCTGCTAGAACGAGGGCTTGTCTGTTCTCCTGGAGCTCTGGTTACAGTAGAAGCTGTCATCATATCCATCAAGAAAATCACCTACTACAAAGGCTCCATCACTACAAAATCTAAATTTCACATAACACTTGGGCATGAGACAGTCATGGGCAGAGTCTCTGTATTTGGTCTCCCTTCAGAAAGTTCACTTGGCTCTGTCGAGAATTTATCCCAATCACTAAGTGACTCTCATTTAGATGGCCATGTGTTTGACTTTAGTAAAGAGTATATTTACCTAGATGAGCTGATAAGTGCAGGGAAGAAATCTGAAGAGGACAGCCTGATACAGCAGAACCTGAATGTTGGTAGACAGTTTGCTCTGATAGAACTAGAGCGACCCATCACATGCGCACCACATTCTCTTGTTATTGGCTCTCGTTTAGATGCCGATGTTCATACAAGTGCATGCCGTATTGCGTTCCATGGCAAAATTTTAGAAGCTATGACAGATGTGAAATACAAAGAAACTATTCTTCCAAAGGTTAAAGTATTTAAAGTAAGGATTTTATTTATTGTTTCATTTTGTATTGTGAAAAGAAATTTCCATTATTGGTTATTGTCTTTTCTGTTTTCTAAAGAGTTTATTAATATAATTTAAGCATAATTTAAATCATAGATCGCCAAAATTTTTGTATGAAAGGCTCATTCTTATTAACCTAATATATATCTGTATTAAAACAAATTTGTTAAATAAAAAATTCTTAATTTTCCTTCAGGGCTGAATTTATCCCTCAAGCTGGGGTTTAAAATAATTCAAATTCTAACATTACATTCAATTCTTATTTTTTTAATATTTCAGATGAAAGCACGAGAAGGTCAAGTTGAACGAGCAACTGACAAATATTCAGTCATTGCCAAAAATCTTTTTAAAAAAGAGACCAATCTAGCGGCTTTTGCCAACCTCCGTGTTGTTTTGTCCTCTGGTGAAAAGGGTATCATTGAAGGTGGTTTTGGACAAAGTGGGAAAGTCAAGATAAGGATTCCAGGTGAAAAGTCTTATTGCTTTATGAATGTTGCTTGTAAATGTTCCATCTCCAAATTATTTATTTAAATATCTTATTTTTTTCCTCTTGTACGGTAACTCAGACTCTGACATTTCAGTTAAGCTTGTCCACACCTACAATATGTTTTCCCACAGAAGTAAATATTTAGGGAGCAAAAGAACATTTAGAGGCTTCTTAAGCTTTAAAATTTCTGTTAATGCCTGGTTGGAGCTAACATTGTTAGGTATCGGTACCACTCTATTGGATGGATTAGCTCTTGTTTTGTTTCACTTGGTCATGTTGTTTTATGTTCAATAATCATGCTGTTCTTTTAAACTTACAATCTTTAGAACATAATTAACCTAACTGTATCTAGCTAGTGCAAACAAACCAAAATTTACATTTTGAAACTTATTTCATTTTTTTTTAAAATTCTATTATTTTTTAATTGGGAGGGATTAAATGGGGAAAAATGGGTTACTATCATGGACTTATTATTGAATTGTTGTTTTTAATGTTGATATAGACAATTTCTAACAACTTAACAGACATTTTTGGTTTTAGCATCTCATTTCTTTCAAACCTGTTTGAAATCACACTTTTCAATTCAAGATTTTAATAAGTTATTTATTAAAATTATTATCATCAGAGGGGCTTTGTAATGAAACATATCAGAGATACTCTGGCAGTAACAAGAAAAAGGGTAAAGCTAAAGATGATGAGGCAGCACCTGTTCCAGAATCCAAGGAGCCTGTCAAAGTGTGTCTCAGTTTTAAACGTTATGTTTATGACCTCAAGAAAGATATGATACAGAGCTGATGTGATGACCTAAGTTCCACATTTGTGTTGACTATCATGCCTTTCCCCCTATTTTTATGTTTCTATATTTCTTTTTGAAAGTGTCTTTCCAGCTCAAATGCTCCCATTTTATTTTCATAGACTATTGTGCAAACTGATCTTAAGTTTAAATCCAATTTTTATTCTTTCATTTAATCAGAAGCCTCACTTTATTTTTTAAAATTAATATTATGATTGTGGAGAATGACATAAAACAAAAATACAGATCTGGCATGTTTTAACAGCCCCAAAATCTCCTCAACAGCCAATTTTTATGATGATGGATAAGCAACTCAAGCGCCTGTTCCTGTTGTAAATTTAAATTTGCTTTAGTTTTCTCTTTTCTTCTATTAAAATGTTACGTTTTTTCAAGTCTAGTTGTTTAGTGGTTGTTGAACATGAATATTCATCTTGGTGGTGGCATATTTGATTTGGTAAGTTGTTGTGTACTTGAGAGGTATCGAGAGAATTATTTACTTGTCACAGATAAGTTGAGTTACCGTACTAATAGGGTCAAATGATTGTTACATGATGTTTTTTTTTTTTGTATTTTCAATACAATTTTCTGCATACACTTTTTAGATAAACTTAAAATGAAGCAACTGTGATAGTATATCAATTTACTCCTTAGGACATCAATTTACTCCCAAACCATTCTTACGGCCTCTAAGTACCAGTAAATATTCAGTACAATTTAAATGTCTGAAAGATATAAATTATTCGAGACAATTTTTACTGACTGTTTTTTGTTGTTTTTTTAAATCCAAAATAAAATCACATTTTATGTTTATTTCAAAGGTTTATGCCTTCAGCTAATATCTGATTTTAAAGTTAAATTTTTTTTTTGAAATGTATTGCTCATTTTAGTCAGATTTCAAATTTGTCTTTTGTGTATTAAAAAAACAACAACAACAAAAAACCCACAGACGTACACAAGACACTGTGTAATTTTTTTAATAAATAGACTTTAAAACTCAATCATAACCCTCACAATAAATATACCAAGATTCTCTACCTTAAAATAAATAGACTTAATTCCATGCCCATGAGAAAACCAAAACAAAAATGGAAATAACAGGTGTTTCCTTCAAATAATGAATGTGATATCAATTAAATGATGTGCTTACAAATTGCTGTTTGTTTCAATTATTTTTATAAAGCAATTATTCACAATGATACATACTGGTAAGTAAAATATAGTTTGACATGCAAATAAAATAAAATTTAAACCCATTCTCAAACTTGATAAATACAACACAAGTTTTTAACTGTGAAATAGACTTAAACACCAAGTTAATTTTATTTGTATATGAAACAAAAACATGGAGCATTTGAATGATATGGACTAAAAAAAAAGTGATAAACAATAACTCTTTGCATATTTCGTATTAAAGAGGTGGAAACACAGAACAGTTTGACAATGAAGCAGTGGAAGATTTTGATTAACAAACACCTTTCTTTAGGCAACAAACTTTGGATTGTTTTCCTTGTCCTGCCATTTAAAATATAGATGAGTCACATTATCCAAGTACTTGCACATAATATACATCAAACAACAGAGGAAAATGATTCTTCACAGAAATACATAACTTGGGTCAACATTTCTAAAAAGTATACCATATCTGCAGCTCTACAGCCTAAAACTACAGCAATACTATTTACAAACATGCATGAAGCTCAAATCATTTTTCAATACAACTACAAGGTAAAACCTTTTTTTTTTAGAGAGCAAACACAAAATGTGTAAGTTTTGCACGTACTTTGACTTTGAGACATAATTTGCTGGTCTGCATCAAGGAATAAAACATACTTACAAAATAACTTACAAAATGATGTCTACACTTAAATACCATATCAAACATTTTGAGCAATTTTTTAAACTTAAAAAAAAAAACTAAAACATAATTGACATCAACTTGTGTACATTTTTTGTTGAAAGCTCACCTGTAAAACTCAAGTGATATAAACATGTACTGTGTTTCCATTAAAACAAGTAAAAGATTTTCTAATATTATTTTAAAAAATATGATATTCTGATTTCTCCTAATAAGAAAATGTATTATACAAAATCATTTTTACAAGCCATAAATTAGAGAATTAGTTTAATTATTTTGCAAACTCATCCATTAATCAAATAGACTCTTACTTAACCTGCATACAAAACACATGAAAAGGGGAAAAAAAATTGTTTTTTTTTTAAATCAACTTCTTAAATGGATGAGGTGCCATTAATAAATACTGTTCTGTGTCGAATAAAAATTAATTCTTAAATTTAAAAAAAATAATAAAATACTTTCAAGAAGATTTTCAAATAATTTTGAAGTGAACTGTTAACATAGATATTTCAAATAAAAAAATGTTAATTGTGTTATCTAGTTAAGAGGTTTGGTGCACAATGTTAACAACAAACTTTTCAATTTTCCACACATTTTATGGAACATACACAAGAATACCTTTTTAATGTGTTTTTTTTTACCTTAAATAAAGACTAAATTGGTTTATTATAAATGAGAAATCAATGATTAATTATTGCATCCTACTGCCAACATAGAGAACCAATGAACTTTCTAGAAGGCCGTTGCATCAGCCAAACAAAAATATATTTCTTGTGTTTTTTTTTTAAATGTACAAGAACAGTAATTGAGCCAGAGATTAAAGTAAGGGACATAACTTTGGTGTCTATACTATTTTTAAAACAATAATGAATGTGCAAATAAAGTTTACCTCAGATAATGTGGCGCACACTTAATTAAATTTTTATGGTTTTCACCATGACAAGATATCTAATTCAGTTTAGTCTAAAGTGACTTATTGGATGATCTGACAGCTTTTATCAATGATTATCAAGATCTGTTTTATTCATCCAATATAACAATCCGTTTAAGAATATTTTTACATCACATATCCATAGAATTTATATGATAAGGAAATTGTCTTCTGATTGAAATGGACATAGAAACTATATTTTGTATGAGTTTATAATGCAGGTTGAATTACTTTTAAAAGAGACATTTTCAAAGAAAATATTGTATGATGAAAATTGTGCCATTTTCAATATGATTCATTAATTTCATTCTCATGGTACTGCAGAATCTTGAAGTCAGAAAAACAAAAACAATGAAAAGAGAAAGATCATAAAATATTATAGTTTTCTATAATTTTATTAAAATAAATCAAATTTATGGCGTGTTATTTTTGCTTTTTATATCATCATAGGATTATTTTAACTTCTTTTACTACTATTATAAATAAAGTTTAATAAATGAAGGTTTTAAGTAAAATTGACCTTGTCAAGTTGCACAAAACAATGTTAATGTTGCAAGGAAATGCGCTCAATTTAGAAGATAATATGCAAATTATAGAAAATAAAATAGCCTTAAATTATGTTTGACTGAAGTTAAATTTGCTATAGTTTATTTATGAAGGCTCAGCAGCGGTGTATGAAATTAGTAAAACAAAGTAAGGTTAAACCTGAAAAAGGAATGCAACAAAACAACGAACGTGTCGGCAGGAAGCCTTCGTCAGCGAACAAAACAAAAAAAAGAATAAAATTAAAAAACAGCACTTAGCTTAGAAGTAGTATCCAAGAGGGCAGCAAATGAATTGTGCCGACACGTTCGTTGTTTTATTGCGTTCCTTTTTCAGGTTTAACCTTACTTTGTTTTACAAATTTCATATTGTGCTAACCTGATTGCAGTCTCTCCCCTTATTACCCTCAGCAGCTGTGACTTGGCCATGCAAGGGAAATTTTTAAATTTTAATTCACTTTGATTAAAATGCTTTGTTATGGATTTAGAGTCACTATCCCAACTGTATATCAATACCTGAATGAAATAATAAAACTAAATCGAATAAATGATTGAAAAATGAAACATTTGTAAATAAGGCTACCCAATTTCTAAAAATGGCAGTTACTCTGAATACCACTAAAGACTTGTTGAGAACCTGAATCTAAAAGTATCCCCTCGGTTGTCAATGTCTTTGCAAACAAGGTGATGGCTTAAAAATTTATTTTTTTCCTCTCAGATTCATTTCTTCTCCAAAATTAGCAGATGACGCTCCCAGTACAAGAATGATTTGGATATGAGTTATGACAATTTTAAAAATTTTTCTTTTTGCTGAAATTTAAGAATAGTCAACACAGCAAAACATTACTATGTTTTGGTACTGATATAAAAATCAGCAAGAATGCCTCAAAGGGGCCGTCCATAAAGTATGTCACGCTATTTTTGACGATTTTACCCCCCCCCCCTCCCCGTCATAAATCTCGGGAAACCCCCCCAAGTACGTCTATGTTTTGGTACTGAAATAAAAAACAGCAAAAATGCCTCAAAGGGGCCCTCCAAAAAGTATGTCACGCTATTTTTGACGATTTTACCCCCCCCCCCCTCCCCGTCATAAATCTCGGGAAACCCCCCCAAGTACGTCACACTTTCGAAAAAAATGTAAAAAAAATTAACACCTAATTAAAATTTAATCCAAAACACACTCCACTATTAAACTGTATTAAAATATAAAATTTCCACTTAAAAAAACGATCACATTATTAAATGTCTTTAACAGTAGAATAGTTACTATCGCTCCTAGCGAGAGGGATCCTGAACAACACATTCAGGAGATATGCATTTCATGCTATTTTGACATAAAACTAATTCAAATGTTTCACAAAATTTTTGAAAATTATATTTAAAGAAGCTATTAAATTCTACTAAAAAATAAATTAGAAATAAAATTTAAAAAAATAAATGTGTGACATCACATATGGCCTGAACCCCCACAATTACTTACACCCCCCCCCCTGAGCGTGAGGTACTTTATGGACAGCCCCAAAGCAGCTGTTTCCTTCAAATTACGATACAGATTGAAGTTGTTAACGTTAATGATTGAGAAATATTTTTTTGTTTAAGTCTAACTAATTAGGCTTAAACAGAGAAAAGTATAGATGGAGTCTTGCTCCTAAACCATTCCTCAGTTTTGTAAATGACGAAATATTTTATTTGACTAATCCTCAACATGTACTAGATGGAAAGATGTACATACATTTACAGTCCTTGATTCAAATTTTTTACCTCAAAGTATCATTAACATTTACAGCCTTAATATTTACTCAAGGTAATAAAAAAAAAGCCTCAAGATATGTGGATAAATAGGGAAATATCACCTCACAACAATAAGTTACTTGCAAAATTTACAGAATTTTCCATGAAAGAAATAAGAAGTTGGCATTATAAACAGATTGAATCCACAAGACATAGTTCATTTTACTTGATAGGTACATTTTATTTCTGGTCCCCTTAAAATTTTCAAATGATATATTCTGTCTGATATTCAGTGATATATTGGCCAAAAGTAATATTTTATATTTGTTTTTTGAAGTGGCAAAGTTTGTATATCATGGGACATACTTATTCTGTTGTAAGAAATTCAAAGCCATCCGTAAATACAACATGTAGTTAGTCTACCTTACTTCCATCAAGTACAGAAAATCTTTGTCTTAAATATTTTAGTGCTCTTAAAAAGTAAGAGTAGCATCAGACCACAAAGAAGAGAATTATGATTATAAGTAGAACCAGTAACAGCACACCAATAGCACACCACTGACGTCGATCTGTGACAAGAGAAAGACAAATGGTTGTTTATTGCATAGCTGATACAGAGATGGAAAATTAAATTTAAAAAACTAGAGCATTTTTTTTACATGCAAACCCAAATATTGATACAATGTAAGTTGAAGAGAAGAACCTGTCTAGGAGCGTGAATCATTCCCCCCCCCACCCCCCAACCGATCATCATAGGAGATGGAGTGGTGGCAGTTGAGTGAGTAGGGTGAGCAGATGGTAAAGTGGTGAGGGAGGTGTAGGTGGTATGGCAGATGAGCAATCATTAAAAATAAGTTTTTAAGGTTTTTTTTTATAAGGGTCAATTTTGTTTAAACTACTCCCTGCCCATCTTTTCTTTCCCCCCATCTCTCATTTGTGGAAAACAAGATTTTGAGGAGAATTTTCAAAAGTTTCAAATAAGAAAAAAATAGCTGCAAATTAAATTATATAACTGTTATGCAAAACGAGGTATGAAAAGAGCAGCCCAACATCATTCCAAATTATTATTACACTAAACAAACCCTTTATCCAAAAGATAGTTGAGCTCAGGTATAGATAGATTTGCTATTTTAAATAAATTAGATTCATTCCTAGCTCCTAACTTTATTATAAAAGCACTGGTATAGATGGGCTATTGTAAATAAATTACATTTATTCCCTACTTCTTACTTTATTATAAAAGCACTGGTGTAGATTGGCGTTTGTGAAATAAATTCATTCCTAGCTGCTAACTTTTATAGACGTATCTAATTTCATTTACCATTAGACATATGTAAAACTTTTGCCATTTTCTTCATAGTTTGGTCCATTTTACTCTCTGTGTTATCCATTTCATGATGAAATTCATCCAGCATTCTAAAGAATTTTAAGAATAAATGTAATATTGGTTGTGAGGAAATACTTTAGATTACGCCATTAGATTAAATAGTTTAAATTACATTTAAAAGGAGGCCCGATTGAATGGCACTTGGAATTATTTGTTTATGCATGTTTCTTTTACATGTAATTAGAAAAACTACTTTGAAACTTATCTCTATGCCATCAAGTTAAGATTAGTTTGTGGATAAAATTTATTTAAAGTAGTCATATTAAATATAAATTCTTAAACTTGAATATCAATTTTGTTTATAAAGGAGTAAGCTGATATCATCTCACATATTTTGATCTTCCAATTCGTTTCCAATTTGCTGACTCATGTTTTTCAGCACCCCTACACTAGATCCAATCATGTCAAGTTGGTCATCCTGAGTTCTTATCAACAACTGAAATATATTTGTTTTATAGGTTATTAAAAAGTTATTTATTCAAATGAGATGACTGAAAAATTTAAAAAAAAACAAAAAGAAAAAATTATAAGCCTAACATTTAGTGTGTTATTTTTATTCACATACTGTAATAAAAATTGTAATTTTATCCTAGTATCACTGAGCCCCTAACAGTTTATGGAAAAGGTTAACAAATCTAAATGATCACTTATTGAGTCATTATTTTCAATGAATTTATTGATGGCTGATTTCTATGCTAGAGAAATATTTTTGATGCCTTGTGTTTAAATTGTTACAATTGCAAAATGCTGTCTTTGTTAATATTTTTTTTTTTTTATTTATTTATGTGCTGAAAATGAATATGTACAATGTAATCAAAAAAACATTTCCATTTATTTGGATCAATAAATAATCTTATCTTTCCTTATTTAAAGATGATTCAAATCATATTTTATAGCTGTAAATTTTCAACATGATTATAAAAATAATAAGTTGAAATGAATTTTAAATTCAAAATATTAACCCTTATTAAAGTGTGAAGAACCAGCAGCTATTATCCATATTGCAGAATGAGGCTAGCGCCTAATTTATCAATTATTGTTTTCTTTAAATCTTTATTATTCTTCACCTTTGTGGCAGACAGGTACCATATTTATGAGAAACACTGGCACAACTATGTAAACTCTAATCATGTATATTTGTAATTTATTTCATAGTGAATATGATAATTATCAGCATATTAAAAACATCTAGTGAAACTTACTTTTTGCTGCTGTTGGGTGTCACTGATATATCGTTGATTAGCTTGTTCCATTTCCTCATCTAGTCGCTTGTATTTATCTTGTGGAGTTTTAGGGCCATTTGAATTAGAGGATATTGGGGCTTGTCTGGAGTTTAATTCTTCTTTCTGTTTATTACCTGGACTTGATATCTGACTCTTCATATCCTATGTAGGGGAAAGCAAAAAGTGGTACTAAAGAAAGTGAATCCACAATACAGACACAACATACTAGATAAAATTATAGAGCTTATAAAATTCAAGAGTAAATTTTAAAAAAATACCATAAAATCTTATGCTCATTTTCCTGAGCCTAAATTAATGTTAGACCTTACGTGTTTAACATCATTTGAAAAGAATGCAGTTTTAACAAATGTTTTTAAGAAATATAATCAGAATTTTAAAAAAGCTTATTAGTGAATAATTCATTTTAAACAAGTAAAAATTATTGAAAATCTGCAAAACACCACCAGTTTATTTATCACTTTTCAAATATCCCTCCTAGCATTTTTAGACTAATTATAGATTTTAGTGAACAATAAAATATCTAAATGTATTCAAAATTAATTGAAATATACGAAAATTGCCCATGTTTCAGTAAAACACACCACATGATAAAAAATCAGAGCAAAGTTACAATAAATACAGCCTAATATATGCCCATTTCCCTGCATAAAATTATAAAAATGGTTTTAAAATGAAAGATCCTGATACCAGGAAAGAATCAGGATGCTAAGCTGTAGTTGAATCTCAGACAGTAATAGATCTAAAGATGTTCTTTGAACCACAGCTGCAACATGATCATTGTCTGTCCTCCATGTAGATCATGTTACATGAACTGAATGTTTTGATGGTTTAGTAGCATTGTTCTTGCAATTCAACCGACCTTGAATCTTATCTCTATGCCATCAATTGTCAATTAACTTCCATAGTCATAGTTGGAAAATCCCCAGAATTTTTTCAACTGTTTCAATAAGGCTTTATTTTTTTCTGGTTGTCAATTGAGTATATTCAGTATGGACTGAAGTCACTTTAGATTCATCATCTTGATTTACTATTACCGACACACTTGAGTATTAGTCTATTGATTAGCCAGGCGTTGGGCATTTTCATTTGGTGATTTAAATGGTTAAGAATAATATAATCCTGTCAGAATTGAAATTTCAAAACAATGAGCTGTGATTTAATTAGTCACAAAGTGTTTCTTTGCTTACAGATAACAATATCCACTATGAAATGCCATTGGTCTTTAGAATAAGACAATATCTGTCTTTGAGTTTGTGTAGTGTAATGTAGCTTTGGATTAACATTGTCACTTTGTTGAATTCAAAATTATCTACTAATCTATTCACTTCTCACCAACGTTTAGGTAACAGAGGCTTGTCATTCACATACTCTGATAAAGTTTCAGTTATTCGAAAGTGGATGACATCAGTACTATTTCCCCTTGTACTAGTATTAGTCTCGTGAGGAGATACTGATCTTCCATCGAGCGCCTCCCCAGGTGGCGGATAGGGGAAAGCCCACCAGATATGGAGGGTACCGGGGAAATAAAATACCCGGGGCGGAGCAAAATCAGTACCTAATGCCTTGTAGGAAGTGGAGGGATCCACAAAGGCTAGGGACCCGACCCAATACAAAGGCAGCTACCCTGAGAGGTGCAAGGGGCATCCCCCCAGACGGTTTTGCGCAGGGCTGACGACCCTGTCACATAAAAAAGCTAATGTTACGAAAGCAAAACCACAATCAGAAAAATGGACTGATATTTATGGATTTCGACCCATGCCTGACCACACACATAACATTTGGATAGCGATTTGGAATGTACTCAGTTTATACAGAGCAGGTGCCTTGGCCCGCCTCAGTGAGGAATTACTTAGATATATAATAGTGATTGCTGCACTACAGGAGATTAGACGGAAAGACTCAGATATCCTAAATGCAAAGGAACATACAATATTCTACAGTGGAAACCACACAAATACCTTAGGAACAGGGTTTGCAGTCAAAAGAGAGACAGTAAATGCAGTCATTGGATTTAAACCAGTGAGTGAAAGATTATGCTCCATAAGGATTAGAGGAAAAGTGTTTAATATTACGTTAATCTGCGCTCATGCTCCAACGTAAAATACAGATGAAAGCATGAAGGAAACTTTCTACGAAACACTGGAAAGAGTATTTGATGAGGCTCCACGACATGATATCAAAATAGTCCTTGGCGATTTCAATGCAAAAATTGGGAAAGAACTAGTCTACAGACCAACAATCGGAAAGGAAAGTATGCATGATGAGAGCAATGACAACGGGACACGTCTTATAGACTTCGCCTCTGGAAAAGGAATGATAATCAGTAGCACAGTATTCCAACATAAACAAATACATAAAGCAACGTGGATATCTCCAGATGGATTTACCCGTAATCAAATAGACCACATACTCATCGACCGGAGGCATGGCTCGGACATATCAGATGTGAAAAGTTGTAGAGGGGCGGACATAGACTCAGACCACATGCTTGTTAGAATCATATATAAGCAAAGAATCTGTAACATCCACAATAAACAAAATAAAAGAGAAAAACAGTACAATAGTCAGAAACTGAGTAGGGACCCAAAAATTACTGAGGAATATCAACAGAAGATTGAAACTCAACTAGAATTATCCAAAAGAGAATCAGCCAGCAACGTTGATATAAACCAGCAATGGGAAAAGATGAAGCAAATAGTCACAAGTGTAACAGAGGAAACGATTGGATTTAAACCAGCAGTGAAAAGAACAGGATGGTATGACGCAGAATGCAAAGAACTTATAGAACAAAGAAACAAAGCTCGGCTAATGATGCTGCAAAGGGAAACAAGAAGAACACGACAATTATATAATGAAGCAAGAAGGGTGGCCAGCAAAATTTGCAGAAAGAAAAAACGTGTTTGGGAAAAATAAAAAATAGTAGAGATAGAAGAGTTGGCAAAAGAAAGAGATGTGAGGGGAATGTACCTGAAGATAAAGCAGGAAAAGAATGGCTTTCAAGCAAGATCCCACATGTGTGAAAGCACGGATGGAGAATTGATCACAGAGAGCAGTAGTACGTTGATATAAACCAGCAATGGGAAAAGATGAAGCAAATAGTCACAAGTGTAACAGAGGAAACGATTGGATTTAAACCAGCAGTGAAAAGAACAGGATGGTATGACGCAGAATGCAAAGAACTTATAGAACAAAGAAACAAAGCTCGGCTAATGATGCTGCAAAGGGAAACAAGAAGAACACGACAATTATATAATGAAGCAAGAAGGGTGGCCAGCAAAATTTGCAGAAAGAAAAAACGTGTTTGGGAAAAATAAAAAATAGTAGAGATAGAAGAGTTGGCAAAAGAAAGAGATGTGAGGGGAATGTACCTGAAGATAAAGCAGGAAAAGAATGGCTTTCAAGCAAGATCCCACATGTGTGAAAGCACGGATGGAGAATTGATCACAGAGAGCAGTAGAGTACTAGAGAGATGGGCACAACACTTTGAAGGCCTACTGAATGGCTCAGGTGGAGGAACCAATGAGGATTACTCCCTGCTACAAGGAGGACCGGACCCACTGGTCAACCAACCAACTTTAAATGAAATAAAAGATGTAATCTCCACCATGAAAAATAACAAAGCCCCAGGAATAGACCTTATCCCTGCAGAACTCATAAAGCAAGGTGGTAGCGAACTGCATAGGCAAATGCACGAACTTATAACCAGAATCTGGCAGGAGGAAGAAATGCCAAATGAATGGGACACGGCACTCATAATCCCAATCCACAAAAAGGGATCTAAGTTGATATGCTCAAACTATAGAGGTATCTCCCTTCTTAATGTCATGTACAAAATCCTCACAAAACTTATAGCGAGAACATTGGAAAAGTACAGTGAACAGATCCTAGGGGACTATCAATGTAGATTCCGGCAGAATAGGTCAACCACGGATCATATTTTTACTATAAGATGTCTCCTGGAGAAATGCTACGAATATAACATCGACATACACCAACTATATGTGGATTACAAAACAGCATACGATAGTGTAAACAGGAATTACTTATACAATGCTTTACAAGAACTTGGAGTCCCTAACAAGCTTACTCGGCTCATACACATGACAATGGCCAACTCCAAAAGCAGAATCAAGATTCAGGGAGAATATTCTAGGGAGTTCATAGTTAATCGGGGCCTCAGACAAGGAGACTCACTATCATGCATCCTGTTTAACATCACGCTAGAAAAAGTTATTAGAAGCATTCACATTAGCACCAGTGGAACCATAACAAACTATTTCCAGAGAGATACTACAGAGCAACGACCATCAGGAACCTTATATAGCCAACCATTGCAGTTAGAAATGCTACGAATATAACATCGACATACACCAACTATATGTGGATTACAAAACAGCATACGATAGTGTAAACAGGAATTACTTATACAATGCTTTACAAGAACTTGGAGTCCCTAACAAGCTTACTCGGCTCATACACATGACAATGGCCAACTCCAAAAGCAGAATCAAGATTCAGGGAGAATATTCTAGGGAGTTCATAGTTAATCGGGGCCTCAGACAAGGAGACTCACTATCATGCATCCTGTTTAACATCACGCTAGAAAAAGTTATTAGAAGCATTCACATTAGCACCAGTGGAACCATAACAAACTATTTCCAGAGAGATACTACAGAGCAACGACCATCAGGAACCTTATATAGCCAACCATTGCAGTACCTGGCATATGCAGATGATATAGCACTACTGGGTAGAAACCGTAATGACATAATTAAAGCATTCAGGGAACTTGAAAATGCCTCATTCAAAGCTGGCCTTGATATAAATGAACCGAAGACAAAATATATGATAATGTCAAGAAACTCCCATGCTGATGATAACATCAATATAAACAACCACAAATTTGAGAGAGTGGACACATTCAAATATCTAGGGGCAACTATAAATGAGCACAATGAGATAATGATGGAGGTGAAAGAAAGGATAACAGCAGGCAACCGTTTCTATTTCAGTCTACAAAAGCTACTGAGAAACAAAAACTGATCAAGGGGAACAAAGAAGACAATATACACCACCATCATAAGACCTGTAGTAACGTACGCTAGTGAGACCTGGACCCTCACCAGAAAAGCAGAGAACCTGCTCAACACATGGGAGAGGAAAATCCTGCGCAAAATATACGGACCAGTGTTAGAAAATGATACCTGGAGAATATGTACAAACCAAGAACTTTACTATTTGTACAAAGAACCACCCATAGTCACAATGATAAAAAAAGGCAGAATACGCTGGGCATGTCATGTTGAAAGGATGCCGGAATGCAGAGCAGCCAAAATCATATACAGGCAGAAGCCTAGGGGCAGACAACTCATCGGTCGCCCAAGGATGAGGTGGATTGATGATGTGGAGACAGACTTACACCAGTTGGGGGTTCGAGCATGGAGATAGAAAGCCATGGATCGCTCCGAATGGAAGGATGTGGTGGAGCAGGCCAGGGCCCTACATGGGCTGTAGTGCCATTGATGATGAGGACTAGTATTAGTAACAGTAACTAGTTCAAGTTCAGTAGTTTTATCAAAATTGCATGAATAACCCTCTCACCCTTGCTGTAAATGTGTTCCAACTTGAGTTCAGGGAAGTCACTGATAATTCAATAATGAAAAAGCTTATCGAATCACAAAATGGCTCACTAGTCATGGCAAGGTGAAACCAAACCCTTACACCTCTTCAGCTTCTTACAAAATTATTATTACATCCTGAGTGAAGGAGTAAAGTAGGGACAGAAACAGAAAACCGTGAGCAGGTACAACCAGCTCTGAGCAGGTACAACCAGCTCACAGGAGTTAAAGAATTAAAATGCACTACTCACCCTAACAGTTGATTTTGTCTTTTCAACAAAATTTCTTCTCTCTTGCAGATCATATTCAGATATCTTGAATTTCCTTGGATTTCTTTCTACAATACTTACATTAGGTTAAGGTTTTCATTGCAGTCAGTTTTAAGTTAGAAGCTATTTTAACACACACATATATATATGATTTAACTAAATGTTTAACTTATAAAAATAAAATAAAACTCCTTTAGGAACAATACCAAAATAATTATTATATTTTCTTTTCTTCAATTAATGTAATATTTTCTTTAAAAATACATTTTACAATATTAAACTTGATTTTTTAATTTCAAGGATATCAACAGTTTCTTCTAAATCCTCAAGATCCCACTCTATACTGCGTAGGCTATTTCTGAGTTCATTAGTTGTATATTCAATCTCCTCTCTGGAAGACATGCCTCCATTTTCCTGCAACTCTCGCCATCTGCTAAACAAGTTTCGTACCACAACCAAAGCTTTCTGGACTTCCCTAAATAATATGAATAAAAAGAATAAGTCAGGCAAGAAAATAATATTGTAGCAATTAATTTTGCTATCAAACTTTTGGTTTTCATTAACTTAAAAAAGTCTAACCCTGGCTGTAAATAAAAATAAAATCAAGTAGTGATTTTTAAATTTTCTCAATAAAGGACGAAATTAATTTTTAAACAAGCTATTTTTTAAATATAAAATCATAATATAACATCTCTGCCATTTTGTTTAAAGAAAACCAATGAAATGTGTACTTACTCCTTTACAACAAAGAAAGGATCTTCAAGTGACATTGCTATTTTTCAAAGTGCATCAAAGTTAGTTTTTTTTATATCGAGGATCCTGGGCAGAATTCTTGGATATATGCAGGTCTCCTAAAACATGAACTTGATTAAACAGCACCTAAATACGCCTGTGACGTTCAATTAAATACAAAATTTAGGATTAATTAGGATAAAACATTGGATGAAGAAATCTTAGCATTGGAACAATACCATTTTTATTTTTGAAAGGAATTCTCAATGTCTTACACTAAAAATACTGTTTTCCAAATTTAAAGTTTTTCAAACAGTAACCATAAAAGAATATTGTTAACTACCTTAAAAGTATTATTTAAATGGGTACACATGAACATTTCTACAACTATAACACATTGTAAAATCCTAGCAAACCCTAGCTCCGTGAAATCATTTATGGATGGTTTCTTAATATGTGCAGCACTAAATTAATATTAATTTAATGGGTAACAACTAAAAAGGTATAATGATGATGTTGATAATATAGGGCTTTATTAAATATAGGCAGAAACAATTTAGAACTACTACTGGTGACTGATCACTTAGTTCTAAAACTTTTATTGAGTTCAGGTAACTGAAAATAAATTGTATATTAATGTTAAATCAAACTGTTACTTTTAAATAGTGTAAATAAATACTAAACAAATAGTGTAAATAAATACTAAACAAACGCCAAATGTGGTTGGTAACTGAACTTCTTATCATTACACTGGTCAATATTGTAATCGTTACTGAGTTTAAAAAGCCCTAATCTGTAGGATCTTGGTATGTTGAACACAAATACAACCATTACATTTTTTTATTGGCTCTCATTAAATTTCATATAATTTTCCATGTTTCACCAGTAAGACAGCATCAACATCCTAAATAAGCCCAGAATGATGTAATGATCAAGACTCCAACAATGGATTCTTCTTGAAGAAGATGTCACATTAACTTAATATCAAAAGCACCACCAGCAGTTGGATCCTTTCTTCAGAAAAAGATAGTAATCTGGTATTCTGTTCCGATATTGAGGGCCTCATGAATGCCTTAAAAATCAATCCTAGACCACAAGAATGGAGACTGCAGACTCTTCGAAACTGCGTCTTAAGGCTGTACTTTTGCATAATGGAAACCATCTTCCATCTATTCCAACAGAGCATGCTATCCACATAAAAGAGACATTTGGTAACTTAAAGCAGCTACTGAATTTCATTGAGTATAACAAGTACAGCTGGCAGCTCTGTGGTGATTTGAAGTTAGTTGCCCTTTTAATGGGACTGCAGTAGGATATACAAAATACATATATTTCACTTGTGTGTGGGATAGCTGATTAAGGAAATTGCACTATTTGTGGAAGAATGGAGTCAAAGACAAATTGTAGCAGTTGGAGAAAAGAATATCCAGCACCCAGCTCTTGTCGAGGCTCACAAAATCCTGCTACTACCTCCTCACATAACACTTGGTTTGATGAAGAACTTCATGAAGGCCATAGACCACATTTCACAAGCTTTGCGATACATGCATGAAAACAATCCCTTGACTCAGCGAAGTAAAAATTAAAGATGGAAGTTTTTGTGGGTCCTCAGACTAGAGCGCTCTTCAAAGATGACTGGTTCAATAACTTGCTGCAAGGTGATGCGAAAAAATCCTAGTGCTACAAACTTTCTCTGGAATATTAGGGCAGAAAACTACAAGGAACTAGTCAGAGATATGCTGATGCACTATCAGAAACTTGGCTGCAATATGATATTATGTCTCTAAAGATCCACTTCTTTTACTCCCATCTGGATTTCTTCCCCGACAAATGTGGTATGGTAAGTGATGAACATGGCAAACGTTTTCATCAATATATCCCAACAATGGAACAAAGATACCAGGGGAAATGGTCCACTATAATGTTGGCTGACTACGGCTTGACACTCACTAGAAACGCTCCAGAACAGCTGTACTACAAGAGACAGGGGAAGAAAACTAAGAAGTTTCATAGAATTTTCTGATGTTAACCGTCGCAGGTCTATTACTATTGACATGCATTTCGTGATGTAAACATGATTTTGATTAAAGATTACAAAAAAAATAGAGCCAATTTTGCAATTTGACTGTCATATTTGTGTGGAGCACATAAAAAAATGTCTAACATGACTTTTGTCTAAAAATTTGTTGACAGTATTTTCATAACTTTTACTTTTAGCCCTACATTGAATTGGCCTATTAATTCATCATATTCGTTACTTATTAAATAGTAAAACATAGTACATAGACATGGTATAGTATTGTAGTCTTAGACCTGGTCTTAGTCCTTCACTGACTTTGTACTAGCACTGGTAAGGCTGGTAATGGTAAGTAATGATGAAGATTATTTTTTTTAGATAGTAACAGTAATAATATAATAATAAGCCCTTCAGTGGCCTCAGACGCATGAGAACTTACTAGAAGTCAACATATCTTTGAGTAGAATCCATTATTTATCAAAAATATTTTGAATGTGAATACTCTCATTCAAGGCAAGAAGATGCGAAGTGTAGCTTTTTAAATTTTATAGTTATGGGAGTCCAGTAACTGAGTCCAGAAATGCCACTGCTTCGGCCACCATTTTGGCTACTTGTTTTACGTCATTTAAGGGAATTCCTTAAGGGTTCCCTAACCTAATTCTGTTTTCTTTTTAAAACCGTATCTCCGCTTTGAGCTGGGGTGGGGGATGAAATAAAAGGAGGGTGGGAGGGGGTGGGGGATGAAATAAAAGGAGGGTGGGAGGGGGTAAAAATTAAGGTGGTGGTGGATTGGTAAATAAATTTTTGGGCAATTTCTTTATTATTTCTTTCAAAGTTAAAATTGGTCTCGTTGTAAGCAATTAATTTCAGCTCTTACTTTATGTAGTATGTAGGCCAAATATAAATATAAATATTGAGATTGTCCTAATTAATCTTTTTAATGTGCTAGTGAAAGATGGCGGTATCCACAATCTGTATGAAATAAATAAACAAAAAATTGTCCCTCTAAACTCTAATCAAAACTGCTGCTGCAGAAAATTCAGTTTAAAAATCCCATTGGCAATGAATATTGCACAGACATGGCAATTTTTAGAGAGAGTCTTAGTAGCTGACATTGTGAGTATTTATTAAGTTTAAAATGAATAGGCCAGCCTAAGCGCCTTCTTAATCTTACTAATAACTTAAGTAATAACTAAGATTCTTAGTTAGTGACTAAGAACAAGAAGTAAACACTCTCAGTAGTCTCATTCAGGGTTAGTAGTAAGTGAAACGAAGTGGCTTTTCGGACCCGGGAAAAGAGTGAGAGGTTGGGTTTATTTTTTTAAAAATTCAAATATTATTGGTGTGTTTCTAAGAGAAAAATTGGTATCAAATAAAAGATAATTGAATGGAATATAAAAATATATGTTTGTACACTTGCTTCTTCAGTTTAAAGTTTAACTAAAAATAAACTATTACTTTAACTACCACACATGACATCCGTCCCGAAAAGTCAATAGTGACAATAGTCCAATTGCATTTAGTCTAGTCTGGGACCTCTGTCAGACTCAATCCAAATAATGAATAAAATTTGGATTGACACAATTTTGTTGATGAAAAACAACGGAGTGTTTGTAGATTCCCTGTATGTTTGCAAAAGCTGCCCATCCGTCTGATACAATTACAATAAGTGAGCCTCACGCTATGCATTACGACTACTGTAACGGGATGGCACATCGGTCTGGCACTTAAACAAGAAACAGCACCCATTCTCTCTTTCTATGCCACAGAAAAACCAATGGCCCTATCCACCGTACTTTTAACAGACATCTTAAAAGATTAATAGTTTTAATAGTACTTCAAACTAATTTCAGACTACTTAGTTAGAATTTTAGGTGCATTCAGTAGGATACTAGTTAATTACTTGTTTTTAGGCTAATTGTTGTGACTATGACATGAGTGAGTGATTCTTGACTGTTGTCAGTACAGTATTTTCAAATCAATGTCAGTATTGACTTGTTGACTGAGACTTGAGACCGTGAGTAGAGTTTCGTTTAATTTGTAAAAATTTGTTTGAATCATGAATGAAATCTTTCTTCTGAGAAGTCAGGACTGAGTATGAGTGGCAACAACAGTCCTCAACAGTGTATTACTGTAGTAAAAGTTCTGTCTCTTCATTCAATAAAAAATAGGCTAAATATGTAATGCCTTTATAAATATCCCTTTTGTTTAGAAGCCATGTTTTTTATTATGAAAATAAATAAACACTTTTAAAAACTATGCCATGACTTTTAACAATTACAAAATTTTATGATTTTTTAAAATTGTGTTCTTTTTATATTCTAGGAATCATCAGAAATAAAATGGAGCTCCGTTCTGCCCAGTTTAGAACTGAAAGAAGCAGCAATTTTTTTAGGTTCGCCTGGAATGTGTCAGTTGCTGGAAGAATGGTTACTTGAAACTATACTTCAAGATCTGAACAAGAGGGTTAGCCCATTGTTCTGGAAATATTTCAATGAGAAAGCTGACTCGGGTAGCTCAGCTAAAGCTAATGCAGCTGCATTTTCAAATGCCTTTGGATTTTTATATGGTAAATTACTATAGCCAACTTATTTTTTAAATTACAAAAAAAAAAAAAAAAAAAAAAAAAAAAAAAAAAAAAAAAAAAAAAAAAAAAAAAAAAAAAAAAAAAATTTTTTTTTTTTTTTTTTTTTTTTTTTTTTTTTTTTTTTTTTTTTTTTTTAAAAAAAAAAAAAAAAAAAAAAAAAAAAAAAAAAAAAAAAAAAAAAAAAAAAGGTGCAGTAGCAAGATGAATTGTCAAGACATCATTTAAAAAATATGTTTACATTCCCTTTATCTTTTGTTGTTTCAGATGTGTACAGTAATTTTTATCTGGTTGCTTTAACACGCTTAAGATGGCTGCAAGTTTTGGCTGCATCAGCACCTGTTACCGGACCATCTTCTGTCACTTCAGCTTTTACTCCAGTGAAGGCAGGCTTTGCCAAGGGTGTTAGGTTTGGAGAGCTAGAGAAACCCAAAGCACTTTTGAATTCATTTGGAAAAGGAAAAGGGGACAGAGGTGTAAAGCTGGAGACAGGTCCGCTCAGTGTTACCTTTGAAAAGGGAACTAAGGGGGAGGATATGGAGACAGACTTCAGTGACATCAGCTTGGAAGGGAACCCTTTTGGGGCCGGTTATGAGAAAAGAGCTTCTGGAAGTATGGACGGTTCGTACTTACGTAATAAGAGTGTGGCTGAAGACATGCAGGCTGCTGGTGATCAAGCCATCTTGTCTGGGCAGTTAAATTCAACTTTGAACCTTTCTAGAAATATTCATGCCACCAAGATAGTGGAGGAAGAAGAAGATATTGAATCATTCATTCGTTCCCCCATCGGAGGAAATAAAAAGCTTATGTCTTCGGCAAGTATAAGTAAAACTAATTCTCTGCTGCCACAATCACTGGCCAAAAGTAGCGCATTTACCAGTGTAAAAACACCAGCAGTTGACAGTAACTCAAGGCCACTTAGTCAGACCTCTACACCTGGAATGGCCTTGTATCAAACCCCAGGGCCCATCACTCCAATAGCATATCAGGATTCTCCAGATGTTTTCTCAGATATTTCTGTGCAGCACGGTGCAACTGCTATGTCACAGCTTGAGACCCCTTCTATTCAGGGTCAGTCCATGGTTGAATTTCCAGACTCTTCTGCACCTCTTGCAGCAGGATCAAATGATCCCCTGCCAGATGCATCAAGCATATTTGGCGTGGCAGTGACCTCTAGACCCGTCCCTGGGGGTTTTGTTCCTTGGCCAAGCAATGATCAGCACAAAGGTTTGGGTGGACCGCAAAACAGAGTAAGTCTTCTTGATGCTGAATCTGTCTAAATAACTGTTATTTAAAAAAAAAAAAACACAATTATGTGGCGGGTTTATTTAATGCAAAATTCATCTAAAAAAGTCAAACCAGACATGACTTTGTAAATTTATAGCACATATTTTAAACACATACATTGAAGTCCCATATTGCAATATTCTTCAAAAGATTTTCATAGCTGGGTAAAACTAAATCTAACCCTTCTGAAATACTTCAGTTGTTGTCAATATTAAACCTCACTAATCATCATGTTTACAAAAACATATCTCTTTTTAGGTTCAGTTAATGATCAGAGCCGTTTTGTTCTACACCTTTCCTAAACAATTTGCATCTGTTGTGAAAGATTTTTATGCCCAAGCGTTTGATATCTACAGAAGTCAAGCTGAAGGAACAGGTAGACACAAAAAAAATGAAAAGAAGATTTACTGGACTCTAAAATTTAAAAGAAAAATAATTTATTAAAAATTACCACACTATATCCTTTTTGAAAAATCTGTAAAGGACTTTAAATAAAAATTAATTTAAAAAAAAAAAATTATAGTTTACTTTGTTGATTTTAGTGATGATGGGATCTTATTATATTACTGGTATTTCAAACATTACTTTTCAAGAGAATATATATTTAGCTTGCCAGTATGTCAGCTTTGTAATTTTAATGCATACAAAATTGAATTACTCTACAGTTTCCATAGGAGATTTAGAGGAAAGCCAAAAGACTTTTGATGAAGTGAACAAAAAACTGTAAGTCATATTAGAGTATTTTGCAACCTGTATGCACTCCCTTACTGAACTTAAATCACAAAGACATAAGTAGTGTACCCAAACTATTGATATCATTCTCGTACAACTGCAAATTCATGTATTTCTTAATTCAGCAAATATCTATAATAAATCAGAGACACTACAGATATGGCAACAGTGGAAAACAATGGTCACATGTAGTTTTAAGTACACTTGAATAAATAAATTGTGGTCAGCTAACAGCGCCTAGCTAAGTACAAATGTATATTGTTTTTATTAGCCACTGGTACTTTTTTGTACGTTAGCTTAAAGGACTTTTTTTCTCTTCCAGTTATGTATGGAGAAAAAATTATAGAATATGCCATCTTATTTGATACAGGCTCTCAAAAAAACTGTTATCTTTTTTAAAAATATATTCTTGATATAAATCCTTTGTGCCTTTTTTTTTGGGGAACTGGGGGGTTGGGGCCCCCCCCCCCCCTAAATTTTCCTGATCCTTTCAGCCACGCCTACACTTTCTCACCATCTGGAAGGGGGGGGGGGGGGGTTTAACACCAATTTTGAGGATCGCTGGTCTAGGTGATTAACTGAATTTTAGGACATAAGGAGGATGGTTAAAACCATCTTAAATGATTTTGAGCCATAAAACCAAGTCTGGTGATATAAAAGCTTTTAGAAATACTTGCAATAGAATGGGACTGGAAGAATGAAGAGAAATTACTGCTACAGGATGTAAAGTTAAATTGCAATACATCTCTTTTAATCTTCATCTGATAATTGTGTTGGTTACCATGACCCACCCACCCCCACGCCCCTGTCACCTTTTTTTAAATAAAATATTTATTTTAAAAAACTTTTCATAATTTGTTTTTTTTCTCCTTCACATGTGATTGTATTCTCAGTGATGAAATGGGTATTATGGAGTTGGTGTCTGGCTCAGCTGTGACAGAGATTGTACACACACAAATAGAGAAGCACATTGAGGATGAGTGCAAGGGAAATTTTGACACATCTTATCTCAGTGACTTGGAAGAGGTGGGCCATTTCAGATTTTTAAATACTTTTTTTCATGCAGTCGTTTGTGCATTCGATGAATAACCCCAGCAAGAAAACGGAATATTAACTTGATATATAAGAATGAAAAGTCCTGAGTAGAATATATGCATGTGCACAGTGGAAAACAATGATGGATGGGGAATGGGCCACCAACTCAGAGCTATATTCGCTGTACAAAAGTCCAATCATACGAGTAGCAAAGAAAAAGAGGAAAAACTTCTTTGGATGGGACAAGTGGAGGGGATTCCTGACAGAGAAGGGAAGCTGGTGTCAAACAAGTCCTCACTTAGCCACTGCTGATTTGGTTTTACAATGTGGAGACAGATTTGCAGCAGATGGGGGGTCCCTAGGTGGAAACGGAGGACACTGTAGATTGATGGATTTACCCCAATACAGAATGTTAATATTTGAATTAAATAAATTGATTACATAAAATATTGATATGTGGTTTTTTTTGCAAAGAGACAACACAGTCTGTAGTTTTAATCTCTGCTTAATAGGGCGAAAAAGATTTAACTCAAGAGTCCTTAACCTGTGCATTAGTTTCCCCTCCATCTGTTAGATGAACACACTGCCATGCGAAAACAGCTAGAGAAAAGCTGAGAAACAAAACAGCTTGCTTTTAATTCAGTTGTATGTACTTTTTCAAGTTGATTCAAAACACAGTATCATGTAATGATATATAAAATAAAGCTACATCTCCAGGCAAATGTTTAAAAATAATCTTATAAAGATTTATCAACAACATATCTTTAGATCAGTGGTCTTTACTAAAAGGAAAAATGAGAGGAGGATTTCCTTTTTTTAATAATTTAATTTTTAAAATTTAATTTATGAAATTGATAGTCTTCTTCAATCCAAATCCAACTAAAATAATTATTTTCTGCCACTGCCCAATTCAATAAAAAAACTAATAATGTAATTTGGGGATGTGCTCTTTTCAAGGTTAAATTAACTTTATATTAAAAATGTCAGTAGACCTGTTTACTCTTACAATTTTGGCGTACATTGTACGATTTTGAGGTGTATAAATGGTATATTCTGTATGTTTATTTTTTACTATAAATATAAGGTATTGAAAAATTTTGTGATGATATTGTACGATTTTAAGAGTTTGAGGGTAAACAGGTCTGTGTCTGGAAATTCTGTTCTTAATCAATGCCTTGCATCATCTTCTGAATAGACTAAAATAAAATACGATGAATTGAAGACATATTCAATAAACATGAATTAATTTTCCCAGTGGCTAGACCAGCAGGTTTTGGGTTGGCTGAACCACATTTATGCCTGTAAGCAGACAGCCTCACAGCTTGCCAGTGTGGTCGCCTTCCGGGACAGACTCCGACACTTCATCTATGAAACCTACGCCAAGTCTTTGATTGGTCAGTTCTTCGACATAATCATTGACTATCCCGACTCAAAGCCTGCCATCTTGGATCTGAGTGCGTGTCTCGAAAAAACTGACCTGAGGTCTGAGCTTGTGTCCACACTGAAGAATGCCTTAGAAAACAGACTGCTTCATCCAGGTTTGTCAGACTTTAAAGCCTAAAATATGTGATCAGGTGAAAGCTGACCATGTTCTATGTTTAACAGAAGTAAAACCAGAAGGTTCATAATTTTTTTCAATTTTTAAAAAAAAAAATTGAGGGCAAGCAAAATGCAGAGTTAAATAAGGAATTTAATTCATGAAATACTTAAAAATAGACAGCCATGGTGTTTATTTAAGCTCATCTGTCAAAAATATACTGCAAAGAAATTTAAATGTTAAGCATTGACTAAAGAAAAAAATTGTGAAAATATGGCATGGAGAATGTGGATTAACAAAAACTTAACACTGATAAGCTATTTTTTTTTTTTTTTTTATTTGGTGGGGATCCTTTTTGTTTTCTTTCATATTCCTTACTGACTTAGATTTGAAATGTAAAGAAAAATGCTCTATTCATTAGAGAAGCTAATGGAAAAAGAAAAATGGAAATTATGGTAAATTTAATCAAGTAAATAAAAAAAACTTAACTTTGATAAGTTATTTTTTTTTTTTTTTTTTATTTGGTGGGGATCCTTTTTGTTTTCTTTCATATTCCTTACTGACTTAGATTTGAAATGTAAAGAAAAATGCTCTATTCATTAGAGAAGCTAATGGACAAAGATAAATGGAAATTATTGTGAATTTAATCAAGTAAACATATACAAATCTGAATTTTTTTGTTTGTTTTGAAGGTGTGAACACGGCTGATATCCTAACAGCTTACATTGCCGCCATCAAATCTCTGAGGCTCCTGGAACCAGCTGGTGTCATCTTGGAGCTTGTGTGTGAACCTGTGGGCAGGTATTTGAGGTATAAACTTATTTCCTATCATCTTAGTGGGTCAGTTCATTTGTTCTTGTGGATTGTTGTGAGAATTAGATCTTTGTGCATGTTGGTTCAGTGGTGCACAATTTTTCATGGGCGAGGTCCCACTGAAAAGTTTGTTATATTATGTTGGCTTCCTATCATCAGGTCAGTAATAATATCTAAAAAAAATTTTATACCGCTGGCTAAGTTTACTCAAAATTCAAATCTTTTCAAATATAAGTGATTTAGTTGTGGGGGCTTGACTACATTTTGCTTACAGCTATTACTTTTCTGCTTTGAAAGTGATAGCTGATGCTTTTAGCTTGTCTCTTGCAATCCTTATCAAAGTGATAGCTGATGCTTTTAGCTTGTCTCATGCAATCCTTATTTTGTAAAATTTGATTTTTATTTTATATCTCTATTTTTGCTTGTCTCTAAGAGAAAAAAAATTAAACATAAATAAAAGAATGAATCTTAATAACTGACTTTTTAAATATCTGACTTATCAATTGCCTCATTTATTTTGTACAGGTCCAGAGAAGACACTGTTCGGTGTATTGTGGCCAGTCTCACAGATGAAGGCAACAATGAGCTGATAAATGAACTTGTCAATACAAAGCCGGTCGGAGATGAAAACCAGGAGGAAGACGGGAACATGGTTGGATGGGAGAATTGGATGCCTGACCCAGTGGATGCAGATCAGTGTAAGCCTGTGATATTTTGCGGCCATATCTTGGTGAATTTTCCACTTAACTGTCACATCTTTGTGAATGTTACATTTCACCGCCATTGATCAAAATGAATTTAAATGATAAACTTATAGACATCCATGTGATTATTGTTATATTAATTTGTCGAAAACATGATTGAAATAACATAAGGAAATTCAAATCTTTAGTTCTTGACTATGTTTAATACTTATCAAAACAAATGGACAACATAGAAATATTTTTTTTCTGCCGTGTAAAACTACTTTAATTTTTTTTTTAATTTCAACCACGCTTTTGCCACAGCTACAGTATCAAAAAATAGAAGGTCAGCCGACATTCTCTCCACCTTGGTCAACATATACGGCAGCAAGGAGCTTTTTGTCAATGAGTATCGGGCACTGCTGGCCGACAGAATCCTGATGCAGTACAACTACGATGTGGAGAGGGAGCTCCGCTACCTGGAGCTTCTCAAGCTGAGGTTCGGAGAGGCGCAACTCCATTTCTGCGAGGTGATGTTGCGGGATGTGACCGAGTCCAGGCGAGTCAACGCCCGCATTCAGGATGCACAAAAGAGCTCTGAAACGCCTAATGTAAGAATAACGCAGCATTTGTTTTAAACCAAGCTGTTGCTCAGCTCATCTGAACAAAGAGCATTAGCTTTCCCAATGGCTTTATAACCATTTAAATTTTTAGTACAAATAAATTGTCTCCGAATGGGAAACCCTATTCTTTTAAATTTTTGTTTGTTTCTTGCTTAATTGGTTCAGTTTAAGCTGATTAAAGCTACTGCTCTTATTTTAGATCTTAGGGTGGTTATTTTTCTTTCTAAAATCCCATACTAGTTATATTGTTTGAGCCCAAATCTCTTCTAAGACTCAGACCTTGGTTTTTACGAAGACTTTGATTTTCACGAATCATCAAACTAAATTTTCCCCCCGTCTGTTAACATTGCTAAACCAAAACTTATTCCCTCGTTCTGTTACCATTGCTAAACCTAAACTCATTCCCTCCGTCTGTTACCATGGCTGTACATCAGTTGCCTTGTTGTGTTGTATCCTCCAGGAGGTTGAAATGAATGCCATGATTCTCTCTGCCCAATTCTGGCCTGCCTTCAGAGAAGAGAAGATCACCCTCCCAGCTGAGCTGCAGGAGTACCTGAACAAGTACACCAAGTCTTTTGAGACACAGAAACAGAACAGAACATTGGTCTGGAAGCCACATCTTGGTAAGAAGTTAATTGGTCTTATTTTTACCGGGCTCATTTTTGTGTGTGTAGATATTTAATTAGTTTCAGCCTGATACTGTTTTCACCGTGGTTTTGTACGTGGTGTTGTATGGTGTTCCTAGTTACTGTTTTCTACGTGGTTTTATATGTAGCTTTATGTGATGTCCCTAGTTTTAGCCTGATACTGTTTTCACTGTGGTGTTGTACAGTATCCTTGCTTTTAAAGACAAGAAAGTCTTGGTCAATTTTATGTTAAATTCAAACTTTTTTAAACATTTTTTTCCCTTGTCAACATGTTTTACTAAATTTGTTTTGTCTATTTCCAGACCAACCAATAATAGAAATGAAATGGCTGCATGCTTTGAATATTTGCTGCAATAACACATGATAAATAAAGCACATTTTTTTTTTTTTAAAAGCTCAAGTAGAGCTAAAAATACAACATTTTACAATGTGTCATAAAACGTAAAACGTTTCTTGAGTAACTTTTTTAAACATTTTTTTCCCTTTTCAATATGTTTTACTAAATTTTTTTTTTCTATTTCCAGACCAACCAATAAAAGAAATTAAATTGCTTCATGCTTTTAATATTTTCTTCAATAACACATGATAAATAAAGCACATTTTTTTTTTTTTTTTAAAAGCTCAAGTAGAGCTAAAAATACAACATTTTACAATGTGTCATAAAACGTAAAACGTTTCTTGAGCTTTTCAGGATATAAGAAACACAAAGGTTAGGGAAAATTTAAAGAAGACAACACAAAATAGCGAATGTGTCACCAAAAAGACTTCATCAGCTAATAATTTAAAAACAAGGAGAGTAAAAAATAAAATGAACCAGGCAGCTGTGCCTTCCACGTCATCAAGGGCAAACTGGGCCTTTCCATTACCTTGTTTTACTTATTTCCCTTTTCATATTCTCTCCCCACCATTGTCCCCAATCTAACTGCTGAGATTCGTGATTTAATTCTGTAAGCCGACTTTCAGGTGTTGTAGTAATACTTTTTCTCCCCCTCAGGCATTATGAACATTGAGATTGAACTGAAGGAGGAGACTCTGAACTTCTCTGTCTCACCAGTACAGGCAGCAATCATTATGAAGTTTCAAACGAAATGTAAGTTTTGCCATCAACATACATCCTATGTCAACTAATGGGGCAGAAATTATGCTTAGACAAACTTTCAGTAACAAATGTAGCGTCATAAAAATTTATTTTTAAAATAAAATTTATTTATTAGATTTCACAAGGAATCTAATAAATAAATTTTATTTTAGAAATAAATTTTGGTACCGTAGTTTTCCTTAGCGCTACCTGGCTGCTGGCAGAAGCATCTATTAATATTCTGAATGTGTACAATGTAATCAAAACATTTAACCATTTACTTGGATCAATAAAAGAACCTTATTTTATCTAATCTTTCTGCCACTTTAAACAAAATTTTTTTTTACCTCTGCTGTTATTTTAAAACAAGTAAAACATCTAATAGTGACTCAATCCTCTTCCCAGCAAAATGGAGTGTGGATGAGCTCAGCTCTGAACTAGAGATGACGGCATCAGTTTTACGGCGTAAGATTGCTTTCTGGCAGGGTCAAGGTCTCCTGAGGGAAGTGTCTCCAGATGTGTACCAGCTGGTTGAGGAGAGGCGGGGTCGACCCCATGACCTCATCATGGTGGATGAAGAAGAAATTGAATCAGCTATGGCGTCAGCTCAGCAGCAGAAAGAAGAGGAGATGCAGGTTAGTATCTTATTGAACAGACAGCTGGAATAATGGCAAATGTAGGTCTTTTACAATGAAACCGTTGCAGTCTAACTTGAAATTTGATATGCATTTTTTTTGGGGTAGCATTTTAGCCCTATCAACACCATCTAAAATGTAAATGTCAGAGAAAAGATGTCAAGTTTTGATGCACTGAACCATGGGGCAGAACCCCGAATTGGATTGGGACACTTGTCCCAGTGTCGGGTGGGGCTGGAACACCGGCTGTTCTCCATACTTTGTTTTTCTTTGTTTCATATTAATATAATTTATAAATGTGTTGCAAGTTGTTGGCCATTGTATTCATGCTTCGGGTAGCTTTAGACATCATCTAATCTGTCACATTAGGTGTATAGTTTGGAAAAGGGCTAAGAGTTACTGACCCTGACATTTACAGTCTATTATTGTTTATAAAAAAAGTATTGTATTATCTTCATTGTGCTTCATGCCTTACCTTTTTTTTTTAACTTTACATTACTTCAGTTACACTTATGGCTTGTATCCCTTCAGGTATTCTGGACCTACATACAGGGTATGCTGGCCAATTTAGACTGCTTGACTTTGGATCGAATTCACTCAATGCTGCGCATGTTTGCCATGGAGGAGCCCAGTTCATCTGAAGTGTCAACACAGGAGCTGAAAACATTCCTAGACAACAAAGTCAAAGATCAAGTTTTAATTTTCTCTGGTGGAGTCTATAGACTGAACAAATAGATAATCCCTCAAGATGTTAAAACATTTTTTTCATGTTAACATAGAAAAATGTGTACCTTTACCAATAAGTATAAGCATTTAATAATGATTAAAATTGAATTGTTTTTGTTTTATTTTCTACAAAAACAAAATGACTAGTTATAAGAAAAACAATTAGTGTCTTCATCATTATATTATGAAAATATGTTACTTCAGTGAAATAGTTATGACATAAGTTGAGGACAACACTGGACTAGTGCTGCACGACTCTTAAATACATATATCTGTTACCGTTAAATGTTTATTTATTAAATTGACTTCATATGCACACTGGCTTTTGTTAACTTCATTGTTCATAATGTATTCTAAAAATTGATATTTACTTCTTTTTGACCCCTTATAAAATACAACTGTTTTTTTATTTTCACAAAGTTATCAATATTTCTAATACATTAGGGAAAAATAAATTCCTATATCAAACTGTTTAAGAGGTTACATTGTACTATTGGGAAAAAGTTGAGAAAATAAAATTAAAAAGGAAAAAAAACTTTATTTATCCTTATGCTCTACTCTAACAAGACTAACCGGAGGCAAAAGCCTTGAATAACATGACCAGCCCCACCCCTCCAAATGCCTTACATAACATGACCAGCCCCACCTCTCCAAATGCCTTGAATAACATGACCAAACACCACTTGTATTTTATTAAAAAATTATGGGTGGGAGTTAGGGTATGCTGGCCTTGCGATTCTTTATTCACCACTTTCTATTGTTGAACAAAATGTTGAAGACAAGCTATAATACTTTTATTGATTAAAAAACAACCTGAAACTTGTTTTCATTGCAAGAACAGATTGAATTGCAGCATTTTTTTTTTTTTTTTTTTTTGTTGGCATCCGTCCGTCACAATGTGACTTTTTTTTTTTTTTTTTGCTGGCATCCGTCCGTCACAATGTGACGATGGAGTGGGCTTCGTAGGACGAAATCCACATAGCCTGGGATTATTATACTTGAAGGATTATAAGCTGGTTCCCAACAGCAAATCGCCTCTCTCCACGCCGCTGGGTAGACCCAAGGGAACATCATTGGATGATACAGCTTGGCACCAGTGACGTCGCAGGAGTTGTCGGAATGTTTCATTGTATCAACGTTATCCGCCTTTCGGGACTCCATCTCCGGGTTTGATTTCAGAGTTTCCTTCTCTTAGATGAGTTGCCGTCCAAGGTTAACGAGTCCCATCTACCCGGGGTGCTGGTAGTGTTTTTGCTCTAGCTGGAATTGAACTCCAGACCACCAACTTGAGATTTGCTCAGTTTAGACCACTCGGCCACCCAGCACCCGAATTGCAGCATACTAGTATTACTATAGATAAAAACATTTTAAACTCTGAGTAAAACTAAAACAACTTTATCCTAAGACAATTTTTATAGTATCTTTTCAAACACAATAACAAGCAAACCTGTGTTGGAAAAACCACTCTATAATTTCCTTAACAGCATAAGAACTGCAATTGATTGTCTAAGAGTTATGAAAAATAGTGACACTGCATTGTAAATCTTGATGGTCCGGAAAGAAATTTATAATGTAAAGTATTGGAAATAAGAACCTTATTCACAAGTATACCCAGGACATTAATGCCATTATATGAAGTTTTACATTAAGTAAAAATGAAATTTGAAGGAGCAGAAATCAAATAATTAACAAGGGCCCAAAAGTTACTGGATGGCACCCAATCAGTCTTTATATTATGTTGTGGATGATAAAAGCAACATTTAAGAACAAAAAATAAATTAAGGGCAAAAGAACAAAACATTTTTAAAAAAATTAAATTTCGTCCTTGTGGCAAATAAAATTAGAGTCTTAACGCAAAGTTGGCCATAATTATAATAAAGGTATTAATATTGTCGTTTCTATGGAAAAGTACAATGCAGACTTTTATTATTAAAAGAAAGCATAATAATAATAAAAACTCAAATTTGAATTTGTTTAATAGATTTAGTTATAGATTTTAAATTTAACCAATAACCTCTTCTGATTTAACAAATCGTTCTATTTTAAAATACGTTAACCCTAAAAAAAAATAATTAAAAAAAAGATTAGGTACCATAAGGCAAGTTAAAATACACAATCATAAAAATGCATAGATAATAATGCGAATTATATTAATAACTTAAAACTAACAAAAAGAAGGATATACATTGGAAACGCAGTAAACAATAAAGTAAGATGGCGGATACGTAGCAGTCGCTTTTTCAAATTTTATTTTCAAGATCCAAGAATGATGGCATGCAATTGGGCAAATTTAGATTATTTTGCCCAATTGTTAGGTGAAGATCAGCGTGCACATACTGCATTAGAAATGCTAGTTGATGATTTGCATACCGATAAAGAGCACACTATTTCGACATTTCTAAGTCATTCCGGATCCGAAGATTTTTTGTGGGGACTTGTTCGATTATTAGGAAATATATCTCCTAGGTAAGTTTTAAAATAAATGATTATCGTAAAAGCAAATTTAAAAAATATTAAAAACTGAATTTTTCAATTATCTATTGTTTCTTATTACTTAGACCTATAATTTAAATAAGTGTTTCATTGGTCATTGGGCCCAATTTGTCTTTAACGACTTTATTAGTGACTTCACTTTTACTTTTAGATTTGTCTTAACAATGTCTACCTAGTCTACTCTTCTGTCTTCTGGTCTCTTCTAGCTCTGGGTCTAGTCTACCTATGTATAAGTATAAGTTTGTCTACTTTAATTACTGGTAAGTGTCTTAACTTAAGTTAAATAGCTCTTATGTAAGTTACAGGCATCTCTTGATAAGAATAAGAATATGAATAAGAATTAAGATACTATAACTTATAACGAACTAGGTACCTCGATACTTCTGTGCATGTTAATTGTAAATAAATAACTCAAAAATATTTTGTGTGTGGCTGTCTAATAAGCAGATCTTAAGTGGTCTAGTTTTTTTGCATTTTGCATCAAAGTTTTTTAATAATAAATTAGTTTTGTCATCAATTACAAATATTTGGTTTATGGCGACGGTCATACGATTTACTTTACACAACGAGGTGAACCAGGGTTTTCTTGCAGTGTCACTTTTACCATTTATAATTTATCAACATCTTAAGTGCTTTTTTTAGTGAATGCAAAGTATTGAGACTAAATTACACGGGTAATACCTTTGAAATAGTCCAATTAATCTTTTCCTCAAAATTTAGCCTTTTTAACATGTAAACCCCCCCCCCCCCCATAAATTTTGTCATTTTTGTATCTTCTCAGATTGGCTCTTGATAGCAATAAATTAGAGAGTTTTAATATTTTTTTTAGTGAATGCAAATTATTGAAATTAAATTACACGGGTAATACCTTTGAAATAGTCCAATTAATCTTTTCCTCAAAATTTAGCCTTTTTAACATGTAAACCCCCCCCCCCCCATAAATTTTGTCATTTTTGTATCTTCTCAGATTGGCTCTTGATAGCAATAAATTAGAGAGTTTTAATATTTAGTAATCTTTAAATCTCTGAATTAAAGCAAAACTAGCACTTAATGTATAGTTAGTGAAATCTTTAGAACCAAGAAAACTATCGTAATGATAAAACTTGATAAATGTTGGATACAAAACTATTGTTCATTATAGGGAATTAATTTTCTAGATATTGACCCCAAATAATCAATAGGGCTATTTACGGAAGAATATAAAAAATCTACTCACAAGCTTACTCTGCTTCTACATGTTTTCTGTCCACTTTTATAATATGTTCTGTAATTAAACTAGACTATTTGTTTAAACAACTTCATGGCTATTCTCTGAAAGACTTTAGTTGCATTGTAAAATCCATTCAGCTATTAAATCCCATTTTGCATAACAGAAAAGCAATCTTAATGTAATAAATATGCCGATAAAGGATTTTTTTCTTTCTAGGCCTGAAATTTTAAATTACCTAACATAAATTACCTAACAATTGCCTCATTAGTTACTTTAATTATTTCATAGAATGTAGAATCTTCATAAATATATATTACCAATAGAATTTTTTTTATTATTTAAAGTTTTTTTTTTAAAGTCTGAAACAATGAGCTCTATCACACCCTGAGTAGGGGTGTGCCGGAATCCGGTCCGGAATCCGGTTCCGCCGGATTTTGCACTATCCGGTTCCGCCGGATTTACATGTATCCGGAACAACTGGAATCCGGAATATACCGGATTTTGGAATTTGCCAGATTTTGTGACTCACCGGATCATAATCTGAAATAAAAGTAATTCTCTTTCCCGAATTCCATACGATCACGATACATTAATCGATTGTTTCGAGCGTTGAGCTTGTTTAATGTTTAATATTCTGCAAAGTACCAAAATCCGGAATCCGGGAGAAACCAGAATCCGGATTATTCCGGAATCCAGATCCGGCGGATTTCGCATAAGAAAATCCGGATCCGGTTGGAAAAAACGGATCCGGCACACCTCTAACCCTGATCAAATTATACTTTTTACGCATGTCAGCGCCAAGTCTGGGCAGACCAGATTGCAAAAATGACAAGAGAAGGCAGCACCAAAAACAGAATACAGAGCTTTACATTTTTTTATATTCTTGAATAAATGTCAATCTCTCTTATATACGTTCATGTTAACTGAAAAAAACAAAAAATTAAATATACATTACAGTGAGGGCACGCTGTTTAATTCCACTTTCCTCAAGATAAATCCCTGTTTGAGACCAGCTCTTGAGTTTTATATGGTGAGCTTTCAGTTACATCTCTTGGCTAGACAATTTTATGGGGTTAAACTGGTGTGACAGCAAGAGGATGGTGATAAATATTTGAAATGAAAAATTCTTGAGGACCTTGGCAGAGGTTCATGGGGATGGAAGAAGGTTAAATAATATGGACAGTTTTGATGTTGAAGGATCAGCTAATATTGATAATTAATTGGGTACCTCAAATACTCCTTGGCATTTGAGCTCAATAGTTTTTTATCCTTAGTGGTAATTTTTCCACACTGAATTAGACTTTTCGGTTTCTGTCTACAAAATTTTCTTTAAGGGCTCACTCCTATGATTTTTGACATTCCGAAAACCCTTGCTATTCCAACCACATAGTTAAGCATTTCTGTCTGAGAATACAGTCCCCAATTCCAATTTTAATTTTTTTTTAAATACATTTTTATATATTCACATGTATATTTTCGCATGAATTATCAATGTCACGTGTTAATTAAAAGATATACCAAAGCTGGATTATTCACTGACCACATGTTTTGTTTTTTTTTGTTTTTTTTTGAAGAGCAGGGAGAGGCCAAAATGCTAGAAAAAAATGCTCT